TGATGATGCTGATCATGATGATGATGATGATGAGGGGGATGATGCTGATCATGATGATGATGATGGATGATGATGGTGATGATCACGATGGTGCTGGTGAGAATGATGATGATGATGATGGTGATGGATGATGATGATGATGATGATGATGATGATGATGATGATGATGATGATGATGATGATGATGATGATGATGGTCATGATGATGATGGGGATGATGCCGATGATGATGGTCATGATGGATGATGATGATGGATGATGATGATGATGATGATGATGATGATGATGATGATGATGATGCTGATGAATGATGATGCTGATGGTGATGATGCATGGTGAGGATGATGCTGATGAGGATGATGATGACACTGATGATGATGATGATGATGATGATGATGATGATGATGATGATGATGATGCTTTCGTTGCCTATCTTATCTGGACACTTGTTTTAATGTTGGGTGATCTTCATTCGGGTACTCTTTTCTTTGATCCAAGATTTCGAGGAGATCCAGTCCATCTTTTATTACACCTTAGAGTTACTTCTGTCTTCTTCTTTCTTCTCTTTTTGCGAATCTCGCCAATTAATAATAATAACCATCATCATAATGTTTACCTCGTACCTCGAATTCTTAAAACAACATTTAACACAACATCAACAATAAAAGCACATTGGGGGTCGGCGGCATCAGGCGTCAGCCTGCTTAATAAAGGACTGCTTTTGGATACCTTGAACACTTTGGATCAAGTTGGGGAAATAAACAGAACACCAGGTCAGCTTTGGCGACTGAGACAAAGCCCAACTACAAATAAGTGGATTTGACTCCGGCCCTCCTGTGTTCGGGCTCTTTTGGACGTGGGGTTCCCCAATTCCGCCTATCGTGGGGTTACCCAATCTTCCCCTGCCGGCCGACCCATAACCAGAGCCTTCCATTGATCTTCCAAGGCAAAATGGGTTGCCACAAGTTCCGAAACCCCCGGGTGTTGTCTACCTCGGGGAGTAACATGGAACCCTGGTTGTAACCCTCACAATCACATCTTCTCCGAGTGACGATTGCAAGTGGGACTATCGACCCACCCAAGCTTCCAAAGGGTTCCATCACGTCTGGGTTGCTCTTTCCCGACCTTGAAATTAATTTCCAAAATCGGTCTATCGGGCGATTCGGTCACACCAAAGACCAGCCATGGAGTTGTTTCGCGTCTTAGACTTGGGAAAAAGCAGGTTACCCCCCGCCGGTTTCTTATCGCTCAGACCTCGAGTAGCCGAGAGAAAAAGAGCCCCCCTTTTCTGGTGGTTGGGGTTACAGCCCACCCCCTACCAGCTGCAGTCCCTGCAACCATCAAAGGGCACCTTGGCACAAAAAAACAACAAACCAACAAGTCCAAAGTTCAGCTGGGCCAACTGGAGTCCATGTTCGGGGGCCCGATAAGGCCCGGACGTCTGGGTTCGAAAATAATTGAATTCCCTTCGAACGAAGAATGCACTCACCTCCAAAGAAAGCACCTTTTCATGTCCATCTTTGGAGCGCACTGGAAGTAACAACAACAACCAACACCTCAAAAAAGAACGTTGAGCGAAGAAAGCAACCCATTGCATGCATGAAATCATGTGTTGCTTAAACTAGAGGTGGATTTGCTTTTTCCGGGAAAACAGGCACATGGCCCTACCACTTTGGTCGAACATCCTCGCCTTCTTCGGTGTCCAAGAGGAACTCCAAGGCCGCCTCGACGTCGCCGAAGCGGCTGAGGGCCGCCTGGCGCTGGGGCTATGGAGCGGGCCCCCCTGTTGGTGCTTGGGAAAGTGAGGAACTCAGAACTCAGGGAGGGAGTTTGCACATCTCTCGGGGGGGGGCATGTATCCCCTTTCCAATCCTGAGAGCTAACAGAAGGCTTTCGGAAGACTTCCTGTGAAGTTCCAGAACCCACTTCCGGGATTGGGAACTTCACAGAACTTCTTATGGCCCTTCGGCTGTGTTCTTGTTGCATTCGGGTTTAAACGGAGAGCAAGAGTCAAACAACTCTCGTCACTGACGATGCTGTCAAGAGACAGCCAAGCTCCAAACAAGCTCCAACAAGAGTCCAGCCCACAAAATGCCCGGCCCCTCTTTGGGTTCTGCTGGTGGCAAAACCATGACATGAGTCCTGAAAGGAATTATCTCGAGGCAACCCAACATTTTTTCCAGGCTGAAAACATGCGAATGCCAGTGCCTGCGCACGATGTTCAAGATTATCGCTTGCTATATGAAGAGCATTGGGAGCCCTCTCCCGGTGCCACAGACACTTAAGTCGATTTTGCAGCCTCCCCAAGCCAAAAGAGAGGAACAGCTTGCAAAACGGGCCACTCCTCACCCAACCCACCCTCAACCCTCCCCACCCCAATCCTCCCACCCCTCCTGACCCCAATGCCTCGCAGGCCGCTAGCGGCAGGTCGTAGGCCCTTAGCAGCGCCAGGAAGTCGGCGTCGGTGCTGCGGATAGAGGCCTCGGGTTTGTTTCCGGCGATCTCGGTCCTACTTTGGCCTTGACCATGGTTCCACCTGCTTGGAATAACCATGGGAATTTTCCATTGGGCAGGGGTTGGTTCAAGTGGGTGATAACCTGCTTTCTAAGTAGATTGAAGATCCAAGTGGGCGGTTCAGCGGGATGTTCGGTGCCCACTTCACCAAAGTTGACCCTCCAATCCCCTTCACCTAGGGGTACTGAGCATTAGCCCAGAGGCAGACTGATTTGCAACCAACGTGTCTTCATGCCAAGGTTTGAAGCAGTCTAAGTTGTCTGAAACTTGGGGGCCAGCAAGGACGGACCCGAAACCATGTATGATCAAAAAATCTAGGTTCGCATTCCTAAAACCACCATGAGACCACTTAGGGGAGCCTACAAAAACTGCTACAGTAAGAGGAATCGGATTTGCTTTGTCTTGATCTGTTCCGGGACCCCACACGCTGCCCCGGCGCGGGGTGTCGGTACTAGAGCTTCCGCAGCTGGGGCGGACCTGGCTCGAACTTGGAGACGTCCCAGCCAAACTGACAGGCTTCCTCCTTGAACTTCCAAAAGTAACAGCCCATTTTTGGCTCTCCGACACTGAGAAACCCCAGTCGAATCATGTTTGGAGCCAGAAGCAACAAAAATAGCATGATCCAAGAAAGGCTTCGCCACCACCAAAAACAGAACACACATGATCCAATGTGGGCTTCAGTTTCCAATTTGCTCTTGGTGCAGCTTGAAACAACCCTACCAACTCAAAAGCAAGCACTTCTTCTAGTTCATGAAGACTTGGACCACTACGCCATAAACATGGCTTCTCGATTTCCTCTGGGTTTCCCTTGAAACACAACCAGGCAAACGAACCCATTCAAGACCCGTGTTCCAAAGTTGTTCCAGCATGTGGGTGAAAGGCGCTCGCCTGAGTTCTCGCGAGACCCCCCCCCAAGCTGAGGGCCCCCCAAGGGATGACTTCAGAGGCAACTATGAAATGCAGCACAGTAGCAGCGCCGTCCGCATCGGCTTCCGAGCTACCTGCAGAGAAAACGCCCAACTCATCATGGCGGTGGCAGGGGTAGAGCCTCTAACAGTAACAGCCTTAAGCCTTGGCAATCCGAGAATAATTGTCAAATGCTCGCTGGTCGAGCTTTAAATTACACCAGGGTGAACGTAGATGGCACAGTTCCCTTTGCGCGGGCAAAGGCATGACTAAACCAACATGGGTTGGAATCGCGCGCATGGCAAGGCTTAGCCCTGAGGCCCCTGCTGGCGTCCTCACGCTCACGCGCCTCGGCTCGGAAGCCGGAGTCGGCCCGTGGGTCCAGTCGAGACAGTAACCCTCCCTCCAACATTCGCAGAAACTGACAATCGAAAGGTGTGGAAAAACGACATTCCTTTGGGGAATTGTGGGAGGGAGAGAGAGAGAGAGAGAGAGAGAGAGAGAGAGAGAGAGAGAGAGCAAGACAGAGAGCGTACAAACTCGCGACAGAGAGCCATCTTGGAGGATCAGATCAAGGTGAAAGCAGGCTCTCACGATCACAGCAAAGAGGCAACGCCCAGGGGGGCTTCCTGTGGTTTGCAACTTCATCTGAAGTTGTCTACCGCCATGATGATGATGATGAGTAATGGCAGACACTGTCATTCTCATTACAAGGCACGCAAAAAGAGTAAACGTTTGCTCGGTTGAATGGATGCGGTCCAATCAATTCAGTAGCCCTCAAGAGGTTGTCTTGGTGCACATGCACATGCATATGTATATGCATAACCGATGTTTGATCATCCTTGCCTAATGTCGGCTACGAGCACGGGGAGACACGTGGTCTGCAGCTTCCTCTCCATTGAAAGCGTATTTATAGCACGGGAAGGACATGATTGGTCGCCCCTTCATGCCGGTGAAGAAACAATACCCACCCGCCGTCGCACACATACTGAACTACGTACTATTCGTCCAATGATCCTGGAACCTGAAGTGGGTTGAAAGTCTAGGATCTAAGAAGGTAGCATTTAGGTGGGGAAGCCCTTCTGCAAGGTGTGATTCTTCCAAAATGGCGAATCATCCCGAGAGACTCCGCCTGCTTCCGAGAGTCCTCCCGCGGCTCTGGCGAGGGCTCAGCCTTGCAGCTCGAAGCTTCAGCCTGCTGAGCCAAAGACATTGTCATCCAATTCCCCGGGTTTTGATGGCTGTGGCTCAAAAAAAATCCGGAATTCCAAAATGGGTTGCCCTGGTAAGTGGAAACACGGACCAAGACCGGTTTGCCCCTTCTGTTGAAATTTGAGCACCCAGGTGCCTTCACCCCTTTGGTCAAGGGTCGAAGGCTGGGGGGCCTGGGCTGCTGTTGGAGGAGACACATTTGGACATGACCGGAAGCATCCCTGATGTGTGCCAAGCGGCATCCCGCTTGGGCTCCGGTGTCGAGGGATCTGTAACCTCGCCGGCTTCGCTGCTCTGCGAAGCTTCAGCCTGGCGCAGCCAAGGCCGCCACATGGTTTGCACAACCGCGCGTCGCGCGCCCAAGACAAACACCTGCTTGAGCTGCTTGCCTGGAGAGCTTGCCTCCTTTCAGTTCGACCTCTGCTCGGAAATCCAGTCTGTCAACCGTGGCCCTCACTAGCTTTCTAGCGGTCTTCACAACGTCGACTGAGACGAGGGTTGAAAGCTAGTCAAAAGCCGAGGGAGGCCGGGCGCGCACCAAAGGGCGGTATTCAAGTCCGCAATGGGTGGGATACTGATAGGTTTCGCGCGCGCAGGTCCGGGGTATGTGGTAGGTTTGTAGTAAGCTTCGGGTCGGTTGCGGGTGGGTCAAGGGTTTGGGCAGGCTTTGGGTCCACCAACACTCACCCTGAACCTGGACTAAACCGAACCACCCTAAACCTAGCCTAAACCAACTAAGCTTGCCCTAAGCCCTAAGCCCACCCACGACCCACCCGCAACTGACCCTAAGCTTTAGCCCAGCCTATATTGTAGACTTGAATACCGCCCTTTCTCCGTGCAGAATTACCCAACAAGACAACCAACCAACCAACCCACCAACCAACCAACCCACCAACCCACCAACCAACCAACCCACCAACCAACCAACCCACCAACCAACCAACCAACCAACCAACCAAGCAACCAAGCAACCAAGCAACCAAGCAACCAAGCAACCAAGCAACCCAGCCCCCAGCCCACCAACCCACACACCCAGCAACCAAACAACCAACCAAGCAAGCAAGCAGCCTCTGCAGGGTTAGCCGCGTGCCAGGGGTAGGGAAAACAACACCTTTCCACACTGAACGAACAAAAACATGGGACCCTAAACAAACAAACAAACATCACTTGCGTGAACAGTCCTGCTGCGGCTCTGGTGTCGAGGGCTCAGCTTCGCAGCTCTGCGAAGTTTCAGCCTGGCACCGGCATGTTGCTTGGTGTCTCAACCCTAAACCTAACCTAAACCAACCCGAAACCTGCCCTAAACCAACTCAAAACTAACCCCGCGCCCACCCCAAACCAACCTGAAGCTAAACTGAAACCAACCTTAAATCAGCCCTAAACCTACCCTAAACCCACCCCTACCCACCCTAAAGCGGCCCGAACGCAGCTCCAAACCCATCATAAACTCATTTCGTCCCTTCCATTGGTCCCACGAGCGGCAAACGAGCGGCAAACGACAGCCTGCCGGCCACCCTGCTTGGATCCGAAGCAAACATTTCGTCATCCGACAGACTTTTGTAGAAGCAGTTAGGTTGATCACGGGCTCAAACCGCTGACCACGTGGATGGGTGCAGGAATCTGGATAGAATGCTCGTTTGTCCCAAAACAGGCATCTCCTACCATGGCTGTTGCTTTCGATTGGTGTCCCGGCACCGACCCAAGACGGTACCGAGCCACAAAAAGACAAGCTGTTGCCCGCCTGCAATCGCTCCACGATCCAGGTGCGAACCTGTGGGAAACCAGCATATATGCGGTTTGTGAGCGAGTCTTTGTTTTGTGGGTCCCTTCACATCAACCCGAAAAGGGTAATGTTACACCTCCTTTAATGATAGGGTCCTCTATTGTGTAAAGTGTTTTGCGTAGTTCAGGATCCTGTGGCTGTTTTAGGGGTCCTCTATTATGGAAAGTGTGTTGGCCGGAAAATGCCGGAAACAACGCTGGAAAAAATATGGGCAGGGCAAACAAAGGCAAACAAATCCTGGCAAACATTGGGATCCTCTTTAATGAAACTGTTTTGGGGTCCTCTGTAGTGTCCAGCTGGTTTCGGGGTTGCTGAAAATTGAAAACCAAAGCCTCAGCCTTTTACTTTCAAAGGAGGGGGCTCATCCTAAGCCCTCCCCAGCTCAAAGGTTAAAGGCGTGAGATCTAGCAAATCCAATTTGCAAGTTGTTCCCAAACCATCAAATTTAAGATAACTTCTTTACACAAAAGTGAGGGCAATCAGTCGCGCAAAGGGGGTGGCCACAAGAGCCCCTGATCTTCTTTAGTCTGACTGTTTTGGGGTCCTCTTTAGTGTCCAACTGGTTTCGGGGTTTGCTGAAAAAACGGTCCTTGGCAACACTAAAGTAGAATTGGCAATGCTAAAGTAAGTACTGGGAATCTGAGATCTAGCCTTGCAATAATAAAGTAGAATTGGCAATGCTAAAGTAAGTACTGGGAAGCTTCAGCAATACTAAATCAAATGGAAACTCAGTTCCAAATCTCAAAAGGAAGCTCCAGCAAGACTAAATCAAATGGAAACTCAAGTCTACCAATACTAAATCAATTTGAAACTCAGTTTCAAATCTCAAAAGGAAGCTCCACCAAATGGAAACTCAGTTCCAAATCTCAAAGGAAGCTCCAGCAAGACTAAATCAAATGGAAACTCAAGTCTACCAATACTAAATCAAATTGAAACTCATCCAAGTCCCACCCAGACCCCCAGGATTTCCCTAAAGAGGGTCCAGCTGACTGGTTCCATTGTTCAGGGGAGGGGGGAAGCATTAAAGAGGGTCCAACATTACCCACAAAACAATCACAGACCTGTACGAGGAAAAGGGAAGCTGCAATCATCTTGAATGGTGCTACACATCCCGCCTCTGCCAACATGTCCTCGGAGATTGTGTGGCCCACACCTGCATTCGATCTACATGGCTTAGTTTGACTCCTGCCCACTTCCGGACACTTTTGGACTGGGTTGGTTCCCTCCCATCCGACATGGACCCTACTAAAGCGTCCTTTTTAGAAGAAACTGGTCTTCCAGGACCCCGTTGTCAGTCAGTGAGAGGGTAGCTCTTGCAGCGCAAGTTTGAGCATCTGGCTTTCCTGATGCATGCCGATAACATGCTAATTGATTAGGCTGAACAACAGCAATCTACATGTCTCAATGTGCGCTATCCAAAGTTGCATCGAGTTGGATGGCATTGGATGCCCCTGAAGAGTCCACCAAAGAAGGTAGGATCAACACCTGGGCATTCAAACTGCAGTTGAGGTGTTTTTTTACTAGCCCCGGCTTTTTACTAGCCGCGGCTCAGCGAAAAGCCTGCCTCCCTCACGTGCCTCTAAAGCGGTTGGCTTGGAACTCTTGCTTCACTCTCAGGCCGCATCCTCAGCATCACCGCCCTGCTCGGACTAGGGCTGTCTATTGGCTTTGATTTGGTGGCAGCAGTTGCTCGGGGCTGGTTTGGTGTGAGTGGAGGGTTTGCTGAGGTCTTAATGAGGGCAGGTTTTGGGTTTGTTTGGGGTTCATTTAGGCTTGGCAAAGGGCTGAAATCCAGGATGGGAGGGTTTAAGCTTGACTTTGAGTCGGCTTGAGTTGGTTTGGGGCAGATTGGTGCGGGGTCGCCTGGTTTAGCAGTGGCTTTCGGGTTGCTACCACATCAAAGCCATCAGGCCTAGTCCGAGCGAGGGCGGTGATGCTGAGGATGCGCCCAGCCGACCGACCAACCAGCCAACCAACCAGCCCACCAGCCGGGGTTAAGCCCCCGAGCCGGGGCTAGTAAAAAAAAAGAGACCGATTCTTAAAAAAGCAATAAACAAAGTGCAAGTATAGCGTCTCTTTCTCTCTAGAATATTGTATTATGTGGGTACATCAAAATATGATACGTGATTGAATTTCAAAACCGCAGCCGTCAGCCTTGAGCCTAGATCTGCCTCAGGAAACATCGACCATCGCGCAAAGCGCGGCTGTGTGCTGGCCTGGGTACAGGGAGAACTGCACCTCGCAGCCCTTGTGCCGAAGCAGCTCTGCCGATGCCCTGGCGGCCTCTTCTGGGACCATTCCTGGGGCTGACGGAGGGCTGCCAAGATGTTCAATGGCTTCTGCCGTTCTGTGTTGATTTGTAAAATTGGAGGATTTGTGTGAGGGCCTTCTGCTGAACTTGCGTGAACTTTGCAGAATCCGCCAATGACGAGGATACTTACGGACCCGGTCTCCTTCCTGGCATTACAACAATTGCCTACCACTAGAAACCTTCTGGGCGATACCCATGACTCTTCCCCCCCCCCCCGCCAAACCCATATCCAGTCTTTGTTCCGGTCTCCTATCCCCATCGCCCAATTCCTCCCCCCTTCGCGCGCAGGGCGCCGTCCGCCGCGCCGTGGCACTGCAGCACCGGCGCGGCGAAATCCGCCGCCGCCCCTTTGAAAACCGCCGGCCCGGGCGGTTTCCCCAGGCCGTGGGAGCCCAGCACCGCCGCGCCGCCTGGCGATGGCGATCCCAGTGGAGCCCGGTGCGAGCCGGGAGACGGGAGACGTGTTCTTTGGTATGTCCTTTTCAGGGAAGCCTTCAAAAACCCGGGCTAGCCCGGCTTGAAGGTGGAGCCAGGGTCGCTGAACCTATCTGTTCTTTAGAAGAACTAGAAGGTCACATCACCCAAACCACTATGTAAGCATTACCTGAGATGGAAGAACTAGAAGGTCACATCACCCAAACCACTATGTAAGCATTACCTGAGATGGAAGAACTAGAAGGTCACATCACCCAAACCACTATGTAAGCATTACCTGAGATGGAAGTGTGCGGACCCATTTGGAAAACTGGCCGGGGAAGTTGGAAAGGGAGCGTGTGCACTTTCTAAGTTTGGTGGAAGGATACTTCTCCCATGCCGAACAGTGAATGATGGTAAAACTTTTGCCCCGATTTCATTGGCTTGCCATAATCTGGTTGTGGATTAATGGCAGTTGAATGGTTGCACCTTCCCACCAACGAAATCTGACGGGTTGTGGAGGTCAAGATTCCTCTTAAAGGGACCCCATGTCAGCGTCTTTGCTTGGTAAATCATTTAGCCAGCAATCACAAGGCGCCACAGAAATATCATGCCTCATGGCACTTCATGCCTCAAGAAACATGCTTGTATACCACACTCCTTTGACTTCGCTCAATCCAAATGCACCGGTGCTGGACTCAAACGGAAGCTACCGCAAACGGAGCCAGAATAACAAATCGTGAGGTATTACTTTGTTCTGCGGGAAAACCGAAACATCAACATCAAACCAATCTTGCGCTCGTCTCGCGGGCCTTGAGGCAATTTGGGCCTGCGCCAAAAACTTCCTGGGGGCCAAAGCTTGGTTTTGGGGTCGGGGCTGGGCCAACTGTTCAAACATGTTCTTGCTTTCCATGTCAAGGCGCCTAGAAACCGCCTGCTTCAATTGCTCATTTTGCCCCACTCCACCCGCTGCACCCGCTCCACCCGCTCCATCCGCCCCATCCGCCTAGGCGCCAGGGCGCCGCAAGGGCGCAGAAGGCGGCCACGGAGCCGCCGGCCGAGAAGCCCAGCAGAAAGAGCCGCGAGGCCGCCAGCTGCCAGCGCTGCATCTCCTGGTCGCTCCCTCGCTCGCTCGGCAAGGGGTCCAGTGGCTGCAACGACTCGTTGCGGGTTCAATGCAGAAGGTGTCCAAAGCCAATCAAAGTCCCAACGAACCATGCTGCCCTTGTCCGGATGGTTTCTGGGTTCACTGATTTGGTTTGGGCTGATCGACCAAACAATATTAGCACCCGATTATTCATGTGACGGTGAATAATCAAATATGTTTTCCTTTTTCTGGTTCGCCCCCATTGTTGAGGGGGACCGGAGTAACTGAAAGTTGTTTTGCCCGGGGGGGGGGGGGGGGGGAAACACCCACAAATCCATTTTATTTAAGCCAAAAAAAACATCCCCCCCGAACAATCACCCAAAATCCATGTTACCCCATACCAAATGCCAACAAATTCACAAACATGCCCAAACAAGGGTACCCCTCACAGACCCCACTGAACCACAACAATGGCATTATTTAGGGGGACCGCATTAGTTGCAAGCCCCCAGCCCCCTCCAGAAAATAAACTGTCAGTTGCTTTACTCAAACGCATTCCTCTTCTAATTGGTGGCCCACTTACTTAAAAGCATTCCCCTTGGCCCACTTGCTTAAAAGCATTCCCCTTTTATTGGTTGCTGAAACACAAAACCCAAAGCCAGCTGAAACCTCTGGAATTTGAAAACCATCCCCCACCCTGAAACTGCAAATTCGTTAGTAAACCATATTGAGAAAATGAACAAAAACAAGCAGGACAAGGGTACCCATCACAGACCCCACTGAAGAACAACAATGACATTCTTTAGGGGGACCACATTAGTTGCAAGCCCCCAGCCCCCTCCACCCATTTAATTGGAGGCCCACTTATTCACTTGGTCGCCCACTTGCTTAAAAGCATTCCCCTTTTAATTGGTTGCTCAAACACAAAACCCAAAGCCAGCTGAAACCTCTGAAATTTGAAAACCATCCCCAGCCCTGAAACTGCAAATGCTTTATTAAATCGTGTTTAAAAATGAAAAAAAGAAAACATCAGGACAAGGGTACCCATCACAGACTCCACTCAACCACAACAATGACATTCTTGAGAATGACCACATTAGTTGCAAGCTCCCAGCCCCCTCCAGAAAATAAACTCTCAGTTGCTTTACTCAAAAGCATTCCCCTTTAAATTGGTGGCCCACTTACTTAAAAGCATTCCCCTTTCAATTGGTCGCCCACTTGCTTAAAAGCATTCCCCTTTCAATTGGTGGCCCACTTGCTTAAAAGCATTCCCCTTTCAATTGGTTTCTTTCTAGCTCAAGCCCTTCCTGGCTGAAAGGCACACCCTTTGAATGGCCACTAACGTAATTAGTATTCCAAAAAGTATGCTCAGGAAGAAGTGGTTGCAATACTAAAGTAGTATTCACATAAGTATGCTCAGGAAGAAGTGGTTGCAATACAAAAATAGAATTGCAAAAAGGAAGTGGCTGCAATACTAAAGTAGAATTGGACCCTAAACTCCTCCATTGTTTGGACGTCCCAAAAGTGAGTCTACTTTTTTCCAGCGCCTCCATTGTTGCCTCCATTGTTGAGGGGGGGGGGCCTTTATTATTCTAACATTAGTGATTGAAGCGAATCAACAACCCCTGCTAGCTTTCACAACGGGTCCGGTACTAGCGATGCTGGCCCTTGACGACCTGTAAGTGGAGATGAACCAACTGGGTCGTGTCTTTCTCCATTCTTCCGAGTGGTTTTGTGCCCTCTTTAAATCTGAGACAACCCCACATCCAGCCCTACTTCTACTCCAGCCCAAAGCCAGGGCTTCTCAATATAAACTTATAAACATGCCAAGCGAATTATTCCAAGGGCCACAAATACCTGAGACCTGCGGGCAGCTTGTCTCCTTCTCCAGGATGCCAAAAATCTCCTCCGCGCTCGCCTCAAAAAGGGCGACCTTCTCAAGTTTCGAATCGATCCGCCAGGTGGATTTTGCGATTTCGCATCAAAGAATCAAATCCAAGTAATCCACTGGCAGAGGAACCGTTGCTCCACGCAAATACCAGTGAAAGCTGACAGTGTGCGAGCAAATGGGGGAAGCGCTTGGGGTCTGGGTGCTTCTCTACGTAGGACTCGGCCCCTAACATGGTTGGCTTCCTGTTGGATTTTCCTTATACTAACTGAAAAGGGGTTCACCATTTTGGGAAACTCCCATCTGGCAACCAAAAAGAGGCACACCTGGAAAGGTCCCCTACTTTTCAGACACCACACGATTTGGACAAATGACCACAATTCATGACAAATTCCCAAGCCGGAGATTTGGGAAGGACTTCTCCTCAAGAGCCTTCCTGAGAGCTAGTAGTTTGCGCAAACATGCTTTTGGATTGGTCAAACATAAGCAATTTTGGCAAAGGATTGAGAATTGAGACACTGTCGGCCGACCTCTGTAGTCATTCAACACATCGCTGCTTCTTCTGTTGGCCCTCTCCCACTTTGAAAGATGGTAGCATGTTGGGCCCTCCTCCCGTGAGCAAATAACGCATTTGATGTGGTGCTAGTTACCCCCGACACATGAAACAAAGTGGTCTGCCCGTCCACTCAAAGCCATACATGTAAAAGGTCAAAATCAAAAGGGCGGCTGCACCTATTCATGGGTCGGACTATACCTTACTTGCCAACGCTTACTTGCCCTGATTGTCGCGCCCACGAGGTGGGCGCGATTCCCCTCAAATACAACCAGACTACTCCGAACCGCACCTCCAGGTTCTCTGGCAGCACTCCTGGAAAGGCCGCGCTGCGGTCAACTTGTCAAGTGGCCTTGGGAATTCCTCTTGAGCGGCTGGAGGCAGGGGCCCTCGTAAAAGGAACAAACACAGCTCCAATGCCCGAAAAGAATTGGCCTTTGGAGAGGTCACTCATTCCTCATTTCTACATCCGCCTAGTGGACAGTTGGGGTCTATTCTACAACCACCTTCTTCAAGACCAGTTCTAGTGAGGCTCTAAGCCAAATTGGGGCGCCCGAGAACCCCCCAAACCCCAACTCCCCCCCTCCCCCAAACCCCAACCCCCAACAATCCCCCCAATCCCCAGTCTCCCCAAACCCACCCAAACCTCCCCCACGGCTTCCCCCCCCTTCCCCCCCTAATCCCCCCCCCCGCCCGCATCGGCCTGGCGCAGGGCGCAGCGTGTCGAACCAGGCGGGGCCCTCCCCGAAGACCGAGGCCCTGGATGCCGCTGTGGGCGCCAGGAAGCGCACCGCGCCCAGGCCTGTCGATTTGAGGTCGAATCCAAACGGATGCCAAATCATGCCCCGTCTTTTTCGGGGACCCCCGAACTTTGCTCTCAAACCGAAAACACAAAAGCAGGGGTACGTTCAAAAAAACAGAGAGCCGCGGGATGGAGCGAGTTGAGACGAAGAGGTTAGGAGGATTCGGAGGGCTGAAAGTTGAAGGTTAGCAGCTAAAGCTGGGATTGGAGGGGTTGGAGGCCACAAGGGCTCGGAGGGCTGGGAAGGCCACAAGGGCTAGGAAGGTAGGGCAAGGGGGAGGGCGAGGGTGAGGCAAGCGAAAATCTACAGATGTGCTTATCAGGGGTTGTTGAGTTCTTTTCCTGCAAAGCAAAGGGGTATGCCAATACTAGACAACGCAGTCTGACACAGTTGGGGAGGGGGGCGGTGTACTACTAGAAAGAAAGGATTGGGTTCCGGGTTGACCCTGCTAGCACTCATTGCTTCATACACCACGGAGCCTCTTCACCAGTTTGGGCCAAGTTCTTGCGCAAATCTGGGGAAGGTACTCCCCAAGGGATTTCTCAAGGGTTTCGCGCGGTGTCCAATTGGCTTCCCATGGGAGTTCTGAAGGGATTCGTGCGATCTTCACGGAGTTTCCAGTGAGTTTCAAATGAGCCTGGGTATCAGGCCCGTAGCTTCGCTCCTACTAAGGCACCAAAAGCTCACGCTCTTCAACCACCATCAGGGCTTCTCGTGCGCTGCAAAAGAGGTGTCGCGGGCTCACACGTACGACCTGCTGCTTTCCGCTCCATTTGCAGAAACAAAAACACGCACTGCACAACATGCATGCAAGAATCACCACATCCATGCCAAAGCTTGGGGATGTAGAACGCGCAAACACGCATCCTTCGGGTTAGGAGGGTTAGGAGCATTAGACAGGGCCCACTGGATTTCCCGTTTCCCGTTCAAAAGTTGATCAATTTGCTGGTTTCCATTGAAACGATGGCCACTTTTGGAGATTCAAACAAGGGAAGTGGCTCGGATTCCCCCTTAGAAGACCTACCAAGTTAAGGCGGCCTTTCCAAGTTTCGAAGCCGAAGAACATCCGAAGGACTCGGGCAGAGCTCGGGCCCCGCCTCGCGAGAGGTCGCGCGCCAGGCGCTCCATCATCTGCCCACTCTGCAGCAGTCCGTGCAGCAGCACCACCTCGGCGCGCTAGGAACCGACCAGAAAAGAGGTCCTGCAAGAAGTAAACCAAGCATGGACAATTCAAAAGACAGCGGTTCGAAACCTAATGAGCATTGAAGGTGCCCGGAACTTAAAACACCATTTATTAGATAAAGCAACAATCATGAAACACGGATGAATCAGTATACCGAAATAAATTACTGGAAAGGGACATGACTAGAATTGGAGCAATTGCAAAAGGTGAAGATGTTGGCCTTGGGCAGCTGAGCAGTGAAACGGCACTTCAAGCTTGCATGGGCAAGGATCTCCTGATGAGAAACATGTACAATGGTTGTTCAAGAGCCCAACCTTGCAAAGCCCAAGCAGCCGAGTGCTTCAACGCTGGCAAATGCGAAGACGTGCCACAAGGACGTTGGGACCTGTTTGTGGGGTAAGGCAAAAGGAACCCAATCATTGGAAAGGGTCCCAGGCGCATTCCTAGGCACCGTAATCACAATTGCGACTCATGGGTCATGGGGCATTGGCATGACTCCGAATGGTGCTAGTCATCACTCAAAGCAACTATATGACTCGCCATGACACCGTGAAAATGTGTCAAACACAAGAGTGCAAATGCTGCAAGTGTGGAAGTATCCAACTTAAGTATCAAAGTATCCAACTTAAGTATCTGGGATGTTGAGTATGCAGCATGTGTGCTGACTCTGTTCTTAAAACCACTCACAATGAATGCAACCAAGCTATCACGCATAATTTCAACGTTTCGATGTTTGCATCAAGCACAATGCACCAATTTCTATCCCCCAAGCCCAAGTATCACAGAAGTGGAACGCACACCCCTGGTTCCCACAGCCCTGTCCATCTCCCTTTCCCAACGTGTAAACTTTGAACCGTGGCCGCTGCCAACTTGCATAAGCCGGGCGTCCACTGCGGTGGGCTTCTCCCACGGCTGCAACACCAGCAGAGGCCGAAGCGGATCCTCTGTGAACAAGGTCACCTCAGATTGTCTGTTCTTGCCCTAAAAGAGTGCCCACTTGAACGGATGCGTGCATGTATATATATATATACGTGTTATCATGTGTGTGTGTGCCCTAAGACAAACCCAGCGACCAAAGGACCCCGTCCAGCCCTGCCTCGTGAGAGTCCGTGGCTTCCCAGCTCCTCCTCGTGCCGCCGCGTTGGCTTGCGCGGGAGCCAAGGCCCAGGCGCACATGGACCTGTCGCACATTGAGCAAGGGCGTGAGGTTTTGGTGCAGACGGCTCAATGGTCTTTAAGGCATGATTGAACCAAAATCAATAAGCTTGCTTTGACCCAACTGTATGTGGGTCATGATCATGGTTTCCTGATAGGAACCTTTTACATCGGTCGTCTAAAACCCTCTCAAGAGGTTGACGGACCGTCCCCACCAGGGCAGGGTCTTTGTGATGGCACATGGGTCAGGCCTTGATCCAGGCCCGGGATCCCCAGAAGCCAGCGACTTTCCCTCTTCCGCTTGGTTGCCTATGGAACTGGCAGACTGGGAGGGACCTCCGATGGAGCTGGTTTGGTTGGAGTTGCTCCCCTTTGGAACCCGGAAATATTGGAATTGTAACATGAGGCTCCCACTGGCACAGGCCATGTCAAAATGGCACATGAGTGTGGGACAGTGATGGCAATTCTGGCATGCAGCTGACATGGTGTGCTATGCGAGCAACTGAAACATCCTGGAAACACGGAACAACAAAAAGAGGCTCGGAGGCCTGCGCGGCGGCGCCGGGGTCCAGAGGCAGCGGCAAGCTGCCCAGAAGCTTCAGGCGCTGCTCCTTGGAGCGGCCTGACGTGGAGTCCGGTGGCTTTGAGCCGAATCGGTTTGGTTTGGTGGAGGGGAGGCGACGGAAAAGCAAAACTTGCTGCTTGTCAAGTTAAGCAGGGGATCCCCCCCAAAAGAAGCTACAAAGCGTCGAATGAGGTCATTCCCTGATACTCTGCCGAGAACGTTGGTAGGAAGTGCAAACAGGTTCCATTCAACACGCTTCAGTCATGGCTGGTTGGGCAAAACTTGCTGCTTCTGAGTTTGTCACGAGGACATAAAGGACATCACCACAAGTGGCATTCCCAGAGAACCAGCAAAAGACTCCTGCACCAGCTGGTGGTTCACCCTGTGGCTGTCGAGCCATCTCTGACGAGTGACTCGTTTTGAAAGAACAAACTATGAAAAAGGCGATTTCTCCAAATGTGAAGCTTCCAAGCCTGTATGCGGCATGTGTAGCAGCTGAATCTTACATAATCTTACAAGCTCGGGGGAATGCCTATCCGGCAGCGGGCTTCGGAAAATTGCTTTCCTGTGCAGTTCCATGATTTTTCAGAGAGTAGCTGGCAATTCGCCCATCTTCGACCACCATCGATGTATCATGCAACTGCCGAGTGCTTGTCACGGCTTCGGTTTGGACCAGCGCACTTCTTGCGCCTCGAGTGAAGACCTCCAGCAGCTTGCGCACCTCCGGGCTCAGCCTGCTCCCCCGAGCGACACGGAACCCAAGACCAGCACCTTTCGAACCGCGACCGCATCGCTTGGCTCGTCATTTGCAGCGGAGCCAATGAGTAACTTGGTCTGGGCATGAAACCATGTCAAGAGCCAGAATCGCCGACACTGTGCTGCGAAACCTGCGTTGGAACATCTGATCTATCCAGCGGCTTTGGAAGTATCTATTAGGCCCATGCCAAACAAACAACGCGGCAAATCATCGAGCTTTTCTGTGAAATCCTCGTGGAATTGTCACGTGCTTGATGCGTCACGGGTACAGGCAAGCAACTCCCCTACCACATCCAACTCGGAAGTGGGGTTTGTAAGGACAGCTTTCACACCTTCCCAGAATTCTCTCCTTGAACGCCTGCATACACCAGTATCTCGAGTTTAAAAGTTTTCTCTGCTTCAGACTTCTTCCAGCTCCCAAACTGCCAAGCCGAACCTTCTGAACCCTCTAAATGGCTGTTCCTCCAGTGGCACTTGTGAAGCCTCCGATTCAATCATGACATTTCAGGCACCCCCAAGGGGGCGCCGCCTGCTCACCAAATTCGTTCGGCCCGCTCACCACCGGCTTGTCTCAATCTCTCTTTTAAGCTTTTTGCGGCTCCTTGTTTCTGCGGGTCCCTTTGATCACTTTTGATCTTGTCCCCCACTCGAAAAATTTAATCCACCGCAACCTCCAAATTCACCATCGTCTCACCCTCGCAGTCGTTTGAGTTTGTCCTTTGTAGTTGATACTCCCTTTTGGTGGCTCCAAAGGGCCACTTTCAAATCCCGTGTGCCTTCAAAGGGACATTCCACTAACAGCCCTCCAAAGAAGGGCATCACACAAGCACAAGCTCGGCAACGAGCCGTGTCTGGTTTCCCCCAAACGAAACAATTTTTTACACCTCCTGTGTTTGCCGCCCAGAAGCTGGCTGTCTGCCTCTGGCAGCCGGCTTTGGGGCGCCCTTTGCGCCGGCTGCGCACCATGGCCAAGGAGCAACGCTACCACCTCGAAAACGAGCCGGCAAAGGGGGATGGGCTCCCAAGGGGATGGGCTCCCAAAGGGATGGGCTCCAAGCGCATGGAGACACCCATCTGATTTGTAACAGGAACCCTTCTCCATAAATGGGCTGTAATTTGATTGGAGACCCTAAAAGGGTGGGGATTCATGTCCAACCACTGCGGCCCCCGCGAAGTTCCTCGCCAAAATCGGAGAAGAAAAAATGAAACGGGGCTCCGCCGTGCTGCCAGGCACGCACAGGAGCTCCGTCCGAGTGCCGGGCATCGAGATCCCCCTGCGCTGCGGCCAGCAGCAGCGGAGTCTCAGAGTTCGCATCCTCGGGCTGAGTTCTGGGCCGCCAATCTCCCAAATCCGTTCACTTGCCCACAGAAAACCGACAAAAACTCACGATTCCAACCCCTATCCCAAATCCACCAACCCCCCACAAGGAAAACCGAAAAAAACAAAAAGTCAAAGGAAACAAAACAGGTCAGAAGTTCAAACCCACCTCCACTTTCAATAAAAGCAAGACGATCAAGGAGGTTGAAAAACAGGCCCCAAGTGTCCACCATACGGGGGGTAAGACAGGCCCAAAGTGTCCACCAGAAGGGGGGTAGGGAGGTCCGTTTGGGTAATTCCCAAAACAGGAGAACAGGGGGACCCCGAACATGGTTGGTGTCCCTTAAAATTCCAATTTGGTACGTGCTTGTTGGGGCTGCTGTAGATCTTGCGCAGTCTAGGAGGCAACTTGCTGCAAAAAGGGCGTTCAAAGGAGTAAGCATCGAAGGTGCCCCTGATACGGATCCATCCCCCAGACAGGGAACTGCTCCTATTCATTCTGAGGAGTGCATCCTCAGACTGTGGTGCTTCCACGATGTCAGAGACCCCCATCTCCCTAGAGAAACATGAAGGCGAAGGATTCTTGCCCGCTTTTGTGGCCCAAGCCAGCTTTATGGACCCGGTTTAGGACAGACCGCCCAGACCCGGTTCTTAGAACAACCCAGTTCCGATTTCGTCTCTGACCACTCTGATTTTCCAAACGTCTCACGAAAGTGGCGGGGACTTCCCGGAGTCAAAGCCCTCAACCCCAAGCGAGCCGTCGACGGACCCCGTCCTTGGCGTTGGGGTCCGCCTTGTCCCGGAGCAGCGCCTGCACCTCCGAAGCCACGGGGTGGAAGGCTCGTTTTTCTTTGATTTTTCGGTTACCCCTTTCGTGTGGGTTGGTTGTTGAAGAGCCTCACCCTTTTCTGCTGGGTTGGTTTTTGAAGGGGAACCTCGTGTCGTGTGTTGGGTATCTTGCAAAAACCACCTGTGTTGAAGGGAAATTCAACGGGAGGAGAAAGGCAAACAAGCCAGGGGCCACTTTGGTAAATTCCACATCGGGGTTGAAAAATATGGGTTCTGCAAGAACGAAGCAGGCCATCCCTCTAACAACTTGATCGCTTCAAAGAAGCCCTGGTTGGCGCCTCATCATTTCCTGCAGCTTGAAAGGTGAAACCTCCGGAGACTCATAGTAGAGAACCAAACCCTGGCAACTATGGTCTTCTCACGAACATGGAAGTGCACACAGGTGCAAACAACATACTCTTCATGGAAAGAGGGCGTTGGGCGCTTGCAGTCCTCTCCGTGGTACGTGCGGTTTGGTTCACTTGCCACGCCTGGAAGAGATCCCGACGCCGGCAGGCGCGCGCCAAGGGCGACTCCATAGGCGTCACATGCCGTCTGGTGTCATGGCTGGGATTTTCATTCCGACCTGCCCAACTTGGGTTGCGGTGGCGGTGGTGTTGCTGTGTTTTGGGTCTGGAACTCTTGAAGCTTGATGGCACTATCATGTTACCCAAACCAAAAAACATGTCGTCCGAGCCTAGGGCCAATCAAGCTTGTTGTGTCGATGATAGACGTGGTTCTGGCTAAGGTGGGGCCTCAGCTGTCTGGCAAACCACAACCTTTTGATGACATCGGGTCCTTGAGGACAGCGGGTTCTCCGCTCCAATAGATCCGTACTCCCCTTGTCAGCAAAAGTCGCAAATGGCCTTGGGAGAATGATCCACTCGGAAAACCTCGTTCCTTGGAGGCAGGTTTCGAGCAGACTCAGTACAAGTGTCTGATTCGGACAAAGGCGGCCGCTTAGCGGCTCGAGTTATCCAAGCTTGGACCATCGACGGCGAGGTCGGCCCCTTTCGCCCCTGGGAAAAAAATAGTGATAGTTCCAGTAGAAATATATTTCCTGTAAAACCAACAAGGGACAATACCACATATTATTGAGCAAATGGGAGTGGAACAAACACTGGGCCACAATGCCAACCACAATGTACGCCATCATCACCGGCACTTTGATGCTCCTTTATATAGAGCCTTGCCTGCCCTCTCTTGTGTCTCCCTCCAGGCTGGAACAAGCAATTCAACTCTGCAACATGACTGGCTCGATGTGTCTGCCCGAACTTGCCTGGGAGACCAACAAAGCCAGAAATTGTAGCACCTTGGCCTGCACCGCCCTGGTTGCAGCATGTAAGAATTAGCCAACAAGAACCCCTTTGCCATCGCTGCCGTCTATCAAACAGATGCCCAAAGCTGATGGGATCGTTTTTAATAGCATCACTTCCAAAGGTCGCCACAGCAGTTGTGAAGCCGCCGTTTCATACACATGATGTCACATCACACATCAAATACGCTGCCTGCAGGATGTCTCACTTAGAAAACAGCAACGAACTCGTTTGCTCATTCTAGATTCCCCGGACTCCTCCTCCCTTGGAGCCCGATTCCACCAATCCGGAGGGGTGAACTGCCCGGCCTCAGGCATGCCGCGTCCCAAGCTGCAAATCAACATTCATGTTTGTGATTTGTCTCAATGCGAGCCCTGATCCGTGAGCTGAAAAGGCTTGCTTGAGCCATTGGCGGAGGATGACCCGGTCCGTTGGCACAAGGACCTCTCGGCCAAACTGGATGCTTCGGCCCGTGAACTTGGTTCCATGCAGTCCGGCAGCCAGGGGCCTTGCATCAAATCCAGTGGACGAATAGGGTGAGTGGCTTTGCTCTCGAGAATCTGCTGGCTCACTCTGACAACGCCTGTTAGGTATTGCAGCACAAGCGACAAACACGCAGCGTTGCTCAATTTCACCCACTGCACTTAGGTTTTCCGCGTGCGGCACTGAAAACGCCACTCCGTGCAGCCGCTTGGCCCATGCACATTGGCGCTCATGGATTGAAAACATTTGCCAGCCAACAGCCCGCAACCGCAGAGCCTGAAAGAAGCTCCTGGGCAACGGAACTGGGGCTGACGCCAACCCAGCTTGATCATTCAAAGGTGGTCCAGTCCCTGATTTTCAAGGACCTCCAAACTTGACCGCCTCGGTTTGGCTAAAAATAGGGCGAAAAACCTACTAACCCTGAAGTAGGAGGTGTCAACGTCCATGCCCAAACTGAGGCGGCCTCAGTTTGCCAGCTGAGCGCTGTCGCACTCGCGGCCATTCCCACAGCTCAGCTGGTGGACTTGCCCAAGCCCTCGAAGACGGGGGGCGGCTGCATACTGGGCCGGTGCATGAGTTAGTCCTAAATGAGGGAACCTCAAAATGGGTCAATGTCCCTTGAATTCGCTTCAAGCAACCCTTTTGTGGGCTCTTAAAGACGACACTACTATGTAAACTGAAGGATTAGAAATCCATAGACAGGTCGTCCCGAAAATGTTTGGCTTTTGGTTTCCCTTGAAAAATGCCAACCCAAAGGGGTTGACCATGTTGAGAACCCCCCCCCAATACATCCAAGGCTTGGACATCATTGCTCCAGAAACCCATAGGAACTACACAAAACGTACCCACCAGCCTTGCACAATCCCCCCAAAACCGACACCCTGGTGTGTTGTCCATTTCTCATTTGAACCGTGGGATGTTTAGTGGTTCGGGGCTTATATACTGCTGGGGAGCCTACGCTGGATTGGTTGCCTTCGCGAGGCTTCGCGAAAAGACGGTGGCTTCGCGGACGTGTTTTTGCTAGCCAATGACTTCTAGCCAGCCTTCATGAAGTGGCTTCGCCTATGTCAAACCGCGGGGGCCTTCGCGAGAGGCTTCGCGTGCCTTCTCGACACACAATGTATCACGCTGGCGCCTGCGCAGACCTTTTGCGTCGAAGCCAAAATCGTTCCAAAAATAACAATGCTGTACATAGTATATACATATCCGAAATTCAGTTGGGCTCATTCCCAGTCTTGAAGCAGTTCAGAAACTACTAAACTAAACTTGTGAAACAGTCTCATACAACCTCCACCAAGTACCCGGGTGAGCCCCCAGGAAAAACACGAAGCGGGGAATGCGTGCCAACATTGCGGCCTTGAGCCTGCCTGTGGTGCGCCGTGACAAAACATCCCCAGCTACCTGGTCAGCCAAGCCCCTGGTGCTATGTTCCCTCGCTGCCTGTAGGCTGGGCTGGAGAAGAATCCACACCAGATAGGGCCAGGAGACAAACTACTCTCGAATCACTCTGCTCTCTCCCTTTATTGCGTCTGAGCTAAACATACGTTGCAACCACAACTACAACCGAGGAATCTGATCCCAAAATAACCCCGCAGTTTACCAACTCACCCAAGTGAGCAGCGTTTCGTTTCAGCCAAAGGGCCGAATTTGCGACTCACCTTAGGGCCCCGGCATGGAGAACCATGCATAGAAGACCGCCAACAAGCCGAAAGAGAGGATGTTCAGCCAGTTTGCGGCCTCGGATTTGCGGCCCGACGGCCCATGGCTGAGGGTTTAGGGTCCGTTTTTGGGCTTGTTTAGGGTGGATTTGGGGTTGGTGGAGTTGGTTTATGGTTGGTTTAGGGCTGTTGTCTGTTCACATCCCAAATGCATCCTCAAAACGTACCGTCAAAATGGTCAAACAAACTTCACACTTCCGCACCCCAGAAGGCAAATGGCCAACATGCATAGGCCAACAAAAATCGACCCAGTTTGAACGCACGTCCTGCCAGGTCTGGGCGAACTGTCTGCGGCCGGGCTTTGGGCCCCCCTGCGTGCCACGTGGAATCCGTCACCTGTGCCCGCAGCAGCGCGGCGGTGGTGAGACCGAACACCACCTGGCAACCGGGGGCCCCTTGCTGCAAAGACCCGATCAAGGCGAGTCCCTGGCAAAGGGGAAGCAAATCAAACCGCGACAAAGTGTCTGATTCCAAGTTGGTGTTTCAAAGGCTCCCAGCGCCCCTTTTTGCGAGGGATGTGAGTGTTTTCCGAAAAAACGGCACCCCGAAAGCTGGTGACTTTACATTTGCATGGAGCCAAGGGCGGTGCCCGAAGCAAGCTGCGCACAGGTGCATCAATGATGGTATCAAATTTGGTCACGTAGCCCTTCTCCCATATCTGATGATAAAGAAACATCGCCCGGACCAATCCAAGGGAAATCAAGGCCTCACTGACAATAATAGTGTTATCAAACGCTGAGGAAGGGTGTTGTTTTCCCCAAATGTATAATCTCGTAAGCTTCATCTTCAGATGTGGTGATGTGTAATATACTCATTGTACGTATTGACGCCACCGACTGATCACAAGCCTGACACCAAAACTGTTTTCAGAACAGAGCGGTTGCTGCTAGTCCCCCAGCAAAACTGGATGCACACATGTTGTCACACGGTATCACACGGTTACGCATATCAACTGAACTGATTGACCCACTGGACGACACAATGGTCGTGCCAGAATCCGGCCAGAGCGACAGCATAGGCTCGAACCGCAGCCCGGCGGAAATGGCCTGACCGTGGTGGGCAGGGAATTCTTATAAGGTTGGTGTCCTAGGTATGGGGCTGTCTAAAATTGGTGGACCGCTTTCAAAGGAAGCGGCTTCCCTATCTTGTGAATACACCTATGTGCTCAGAGCAACAGAATGCCTTGCGCGTGCACCTGTGTGCGGCACTTCTTGTAGCATCATGCGAGAGGCGGCTTACAATGTTGAGCGGGACTACGGCATGACTCTTGCTGCCACGAAACCAACAAACATCACAAATGTTTGTCATGTGGTCCCCATAGACCTGGGAGAAGTCCTATCCTGTGCACCAAAGAAGGCCACAATAGACTGCGTGATTGCTGATTCCAAATGTGCGAACAAGTCAACCACAAAATATAGACAGTTCCTGCAGGAATGTTGTGAGGAAAATCCACAGAATGATTTGAACGATTGCATCTTGCTAGTCCAACTTGGTCCGCTAAAGAGAGTTTCATGAGGTGACCAACCATTGAACGGCCAAATCCCAAATCGTCTATTGCGAGTAAAACCCGTGTGGAATCTCCCATTCCCAGCCACTTAACTATGTCTCAACCCTCACTTTCGATCCCACCTTGATCCGCGAAGCCTTCCTTCTCGTCAAGGATATGGGACCATTTGGACCCGCCCGGCAATTCGAGGCACACACCCGCGCAAAGAATGAATCAAGAAAGAACCAACATAGCAATGCAACTTTGTGCTAGAACAAAAATCACATGCAAGGACTGGGGAAGACCTGGGATACAGGAAGACCTTGGATACAGGAAGACCTTTCCTTCATACTTGGTTTGTCATCCGCCTCTTCTGCAATGGTACTGATCAAAAACAAAAAAAAACACCCGAGTCGTGGACCCATCGCTTTTTTTCCAAAAACCAAAACCCAGCGGTCCATCGATCCATCCCCTCGCCGTCGTCTGTCTGCTTGGCCGCCCAGGTCAGGAAGCCCTGCCCAAAGATCAGGGCCTGAGACGCAGGCGGCTCGCATGCGACGGGTTAGTCTCAATACGTTTTTTGCTTCCTCCCGTTCATGGGGTACGGTACCGTATTTGAAGCGAAATATGGGGAGCCCCCAACGGGTGACCCGTTGAATGGGTTCGAACATGTTCAACAGGGGGTCGAAGTCGGATGCAAAAAACCTGAACCATGGATTCGAGCCAAAATGAGAAGGGAATGTCAAACTGCTTGGATCTCGAAAGAAAGGACAATGGCAACCAAACTGCGGATCTATGTTCCCTCACTCAGGCTCTGCGCTTGCTTTTGGAGGGGGAAACGGAATCATTGATCTCGCCAGCCCCAATTTTCCAGGAAGCCTTGACAGAAATGGAACCCTGGAATGTCGAAAAGAACGACTGAGGACAAAGCTGGGGAGGGGCAATGGGATCAACCTTCAGGGTGGAAAACCCGAAAAGGCAACCTTGAATAGAGGCTCACACAAGAAACAGCTCTCGATGGCTGGTAACACACATGAGTACATGGCTGGTAATGGGCCTCACTCGCTCGCAGCTTGATACATAGGAAGGATTAGGAAACCAGTGGAAACCACTAAGCGGATTGACATCTTCGGATATGGGCTTGTCTTCAACTCACTTCCTGAGTTTACTGGTCAGAAAAAGTCCAGACATGTCCAGACTGTTGGTTTACCACTAAAATGGTCTTCCCAGAAAAGTGACTTCAAGTCCAACTCAGAAACCAAGGCCAAAAGGGATCCCCGCCAAAATGGGGCGGGTCGTCGGCGATGTCTCAGGCTTCAGCACCGTAGAGGCGAATGACGACATGGGTGATCTTCACCTCTCGCGTCGATCCCCGAGCCCAGTCTGCATCCCAAAAGCGCTCAGCCGGAAAAAAGTCTTCGCTAATTCGACACCCCCGCCATCCGCCGTTCCGCCGCTTCGCTCCGCCTGGCCGTCATCTGGGTTCCATCTCCAGCTGCCGTGCCAACTGGGCTGGGGAGAACCCTCAGGCCGTAGGTTTAGATCGGAGTTGTAAATGCGGCCTACCTCCAGGAGTCCTGGATGATGTTGCTTTCGCCCGAAACTGGTCGTCTTGAACATACCAACGCTTCTGGTACGCCACATGTTCGGGACACACTCGAAAAATGTGGGCAGGTGGGTTTCGCTTGCCCCACTTGTGTGCTCAACATGCTGTGAGTCACACGCATTGTTCCCCACCCAATTCTTGGTCTGTCGGGAAATTGGGCCTCTCTGCGCGGGTTGGTGGCTTGGCTTTGGGGTCTCAAAGGACACCTCTCATGCGTCTCTTCCCAAATTTCTGCCTGCATGAATCAAAGTTAGGATCTAGGCCGCAGGCTCCTCTCCCAGGAAGAAGCCGAAACAATGTGGCAGCAGAAACCTCAGCCGTGCGGATGTCTCATACCCACATGCAGCGCACGAAAAAACACATCCAGCATTCAATTCCCGGAGGTCGCTGTGCTCTGCGCTCGCCCTTGTGCCGCTGCGCTCGGCCTGCGGTTTTACGTTACGTTTTGTTAGCATTAAAGGGGCAAAGGGAAAAATGAAATCGAAGGGCAAGCTACGTAAAAATATGCCCGCAAAGAAGAAGGAGGGGCAACACGTTGGTTGGTGGCAGCTTCCTTGAAACGCTTCTTTTCCTGGTTTAGGTTTGAGAAGAAAGTTGGCTCTAGACAGTCACGATGGGATGTGCCATCCCCTCATCGGGCCTCTCGCAAGGCTCTTGCGCTGCTCTTGCACCGTTCTTTCTCGAGCAAAACCGGCCAAATCCTGCAACTCGTGGCAGGTCCTCAATGAGGTCGTCAAAGTGCAACCCACCACATCTCCCTCGTGATTTCGATAGAGCCCCAAAACGTCCGGCTACCCTCCCGTCCACTAAAGGGTCGCTTGAAAAAAAATAGGTCTTCCAGTTCCCCGGCAAACTGCTGCTGGAGGCTGCGAGGCTAGATCATTGCACGCATGATTGTCCTTATGATCATGACGTCTGGGTTAACGGTAGACCATCCCATTCTAACTACATCCTTCATCTGTAACATAAAATGGCCGTGGGTCACAAACAGGTACCCAAAATGGGTTGGCCTGGTAAATGGAACATGGACTCAAACCTGCGGTCCATATGGTGGTTTTATTTTGACCCATACCCAAATTTTAGTAAATGATAATGCAACTCATTAAATGCACCATGGCAACTTCCATGTTGTTTTCGGGTTGCCTTCTGAGGAAACCCCTCAGGCGTCCGGACGCCAGCGCCCCAATGGTCCAGGCCACCACCGTATGGCAGGTGAGCAGCAGGTTGAGGCCTCGGTTCGGGAGCCCACCACACTGGGTGAGTCTGAGGATGGCACTTTCATCGGAAGGTTCTGCTTGGATGAGATCAGAGGTGCTTGGTAAGGGGAACAACGGAAACCAAACGGGTTCTTTAACTTCGGGCTTTGACCAACTGGCAGAAGCAATGGAAAATGGGCGGAACTCCGGATGGGAACTGGATTGGAAAGCAGGATGAGAACCCAGTCCACTTCCAGAGCTGACATTTGCATTGCAAGAAGTCTGAATCCATGGACAACCCCTTACGGGTCGATGTCTGGGATGCTCACTCCATCCTTTAGTCCATGTTGACACTGTACATCCATAGATTTGGATTCTCGTGAATGCTTGGTTGGCTTGGCTATTGTATGAGCTAGTCCTTGACGGACTTACTTTTAGGTTCTCAAATGCCTTCAAGCTTCACACAACTCTATCACCAATTCAGTTTACACTCAAACTCTTCTTTCAACCCTCTGAATTTCCGCGCTCATCATGTACTTGGATTTGTTAGGACAGCAAAATGCACGCGTGGCCACACCTTGCAAAGACAAGACTCAGCGTCCAGCTCCTTTTCCTTAGCGAAAACTTGCTGACCTTTGGCGCTTCGCCATCAAAGGAAAACTGGCCTCTTCAGCTTCAAGGCTGGGGCCGAAGATTGAAATCGATAGCCCTGGCTGCCTTTGCACGTGCGCAAGAAGAAAACATCAGCTGGCAGCTGGCATTGACTTCTGTGCGCTGATTTGCAAGAGTGGACCTCTGCTGGCCACAGTGAGACGCTCAAAGAATGACTCACCAGCCAGCGACAAATACAGTAACACAGAACCGCGGGCTACTTCTTCGCGAAGAGGTCGTCAACATCAACTGCTCGTCCCATGCCTGGCAACTGGAGCATGGCGTGGCGGACGACAACATTGTTGATGGTTTGTTGTCGGTGCCCCTTTAAAGGAAACCCGAAGGACTCAAAACAAAAACATGCACACAACACACATCCACATGGTTAAGGGGCATGGTCGCCTCCTACTTGAAGTTGCACTGGCAACGCCCAGCTGTCGTGACATCAGGTGCGAAACAACAATCGGCCGGCGTGGACTGTCACTCGCAAGTCTGACAAGCCAAGCAACGGATATTGCGCGATCTTCTGAAAAGCAAGAAAGTCTTGCGCTGGCTGTTTGCATTCGGTCCCTTTGTGCCTGGTCTCTTGTTGCAGCTGTCGCATTCTTGAGATCTCGCCCATTTGATGGATTTGTGCTTTGCTCTGACTGCTTATTCGGAGATTATTTGTCTCTTCCGTCGACAGCCACCATTCTTCAGTTGAGGACGACATTCATTGGTCATGGTTGCATGATCAAGCACTGGATGTTCCCCACCCACTGTGGCTGCGCAGGCCCCCACCCCCACGCTGCACCGGCTTGTCCATTTCAGAAAAAGAAGCGCAACAAGTAGTACCCTATCTACATAACCAACAGCTGCACCTGATTAGTTTGCCTGTATATAGAGGTTGTCCCATAAAATGCACAAAATAGCCTTATGCCATCACATTTTCGCCTGGCCCTTGTGACCAAACCCTTGAATCCAAATGCAAAGCCGGTTTGAATCCTGCTCACACGCTGTTAGCAAGCTGGCTGAAACTCACTATGGACACTATGGTCACCTGCCTTTGTCCTGTACAGCACGACTGCGGAGGATCTGGTTGTCCTTCAAACGAGGATTCCCGTGACTGTAATAAGCAGTGACAGTGGCGGCTCATCATCATCCGGGCATTTTTGGATTCAGCATGCTTCAATCCCAAATCTCTGCGCCTTCGAAATTATCGAAATGTACCTTTTGTCTCCCTGTATGCTACGATGCCAAATCTCTGCACCTCCGAGCTTCCAGCAAGCACTGTACAATTGCTTGATGGCCCAGCCGTGCAGCAATATACAAGGGAGTGACGCCATGCTTGGTCGCCCTCTCTTTGTCTGCACTGGCTTCCAGCAAGCATTCAACAACTGGTCGCCTTCTCTTTGTCAGCACTGGTTTCAAGCAAGCATTGAACAACTGCCTCGTAGCCCTGCCTTGCAGCAATAAGCAATGGTGTGGCGCCATCTTTGTTAGCCTTCTCTGTGTCAGCACCGGCTGCCAGCAAGCATCGAACAACTGATTGATGGCCCTTCTGCGCAGCAATGTACAATGGTGTAGAGCCGTTGTGTATTGCCTGTTCTTTGTCAGCACCGGCCTTCAGCAAGCCCGGCGCAACTGCCTGATGGCCTTGCAGTGAAGCAATATACAATGCTGTGGCGCCGCTGTTTGTGGCCTTCTCTTTGTCAGCAACGGCTTCCAACAAGCAATGAACAACTGCCTGATGCCCCTGCTGTGCAGCGCTACGTATGTAATGGTGTTGCGCTATCGCTGTTCGCCTTGGTTGTGTCCGCGCCCACTTCTAGCAAGAATTGCACAAATTCGAGATGGCCGTTGGTAGCAGGGTGTCAATGGCGGTTTCTTTCTGCAACATTGGGATCATGGGGCTTCTCTAACAGCTCTTGTGTGCTGCCTGATTCCGCCGCTTCTGGCAAGTCACCGTTAGGCATTCGGCATTTTCCCCGAACTCTCTTGCCCCAACTCGGCTACGCCACAAGCCAGCGCGAGCCGCCTGAAATTTTTCCAAGCGCAAGACGTCGAAGAAACAGTCCCCATCTGAGTGTCCGAGCAGCTCTTTCCGCCACAAGGAATAAACTGCCTTCGCCATCACCTCCCTGCCATCAAGCAAGCGCACGCATGACACGCATGAATTGGACGCGTCAATTCGCTCCAATTCGCATGCACCTTGAGCCCTTCGGAGTCCCAAGCTTGACAATGCTCACAAGGAGATGGCAATGAGAAGCACTTCTCCAACAAGTAGACAGCCTTCAAAACACCTCCCAGGACACACTTGACCACCGCCCCGCCAACCTGCCCAACCTCCCCACCTCCTAACCTCCTACCTCCACCTCCTCCTGATCGGCCCAAGCGCCTATGGTGCCACTGGCGCCGGCTGCGCGCAGGCGCCGCACCACGTCGGGGAAGCGGTTCCTGGAGCTTTCAGCGTGGTTGGTGGCTGGAATGGGTGTCTCCCATATAAAGGTGGAGATTCCCTTGTATCATAGAAGTGGGGATAAACCCCTTGATCCCACAACCCTGGTGTCTAGGGATGTTTGGTTTCCCTGAATCCCCCAAATCCCCCAAATCCCCACTCGACCCTTGTGCTGGGTCCATTAAAGTCACACCCTCCCACATGATCTTTTTTCAATGGTGGTTATAAAAAAGGGAAACCGCCGTACAATTTGTTCTTTGGCAAGCCCTCCTGAAGTGGTCCAGAAATACCCGCGCTTTGATGGGCATTGGAAAACACATCGTTTTTTGAATCAGGGACAGCTGAGTGGCAACATGACATCTGCGCCTTAGGTGGTTTCCAGATATATCAATGGAGAATGGGAAATGATTTACCATGCTGCCTACCACCATGTTCTGTCTATCTGAACAGAAGCTACGTTCAGTTCACAGTCGTAGACATATCTTAATTTATCTGAGCCGAACTCGTATCATCAGGTTGCATGCCTTTCAAAGAGCAGCGTGATGTTCGTCATGCCCTGGCTTGGCTTGGGGAGGAGCCAGGAAATACAAACCAGAACATAACAGCCAGGTCTCGGTACCCTGTGACAAATCCATTGAGAAAAGGGATCACACATCTCTTACCGACTCGTACCTGCCTCGTTTCTTGCTTGGGTTGCAAGCAACATTTAGAAGGGATTTGGAACCCATTGTGATTTCCAGGCTGCCCGAAGCAGGCATGGCCAAGCAAGCTTGCCTTGATAGAGGCTACCTTTGGGAGCGACCGAGGTCATGTGACCCTGGCAGTTCGGAATTCGAATCCTGCAACAATCAGACACCTGGGAAGGATGGACGGATCCGGAAATACTTCTCTGCCAGCAGAGAAAGTTTGGTTGGTACATTACTGTTGAAAACGCGGGTACCAGTGGGAAAATACTCTCTGAGTGATTATGAATGTTTGTCGGAAGAAAAATAGGCTTCTGACCGTGGCTTCTTAAAGAATTGATGATCTCCAATTGATCCTGCCTAGTTCGCTGGGTTGCAAGCAGGGAGGGTATGGATTTCAATCCCCCGAAAGCCACGTGCCGTTCCCAGCCCCGTGCCGTTCCCAGCCAAGCTACTGCTTGGCGATTTTGATAGCCGTCACACCGTTGGCATCCACCTAGCCGCTGCTTTGGCTATTTCAATTGCCGAGAAAGGACCAGGGAATCACCTTTTGGGATCTTGAGCAAAACATGGATAAAAGGGGGATGCCAGTACAGGCCGGTTTGAGACGAGATTGTATAAAACAAGTTGGACCCCTTTTTGGCTGATGAAGCCATGAGAAAACCGCATCAATCAAACATCAGGCAAGGCCCAGTTCCGGCTGCGAGGGGTTGGGGCTCTTCCAGTGCTTTGTGTCACGAACTAACAGGACGTCAAAGAAAAGCCCACAAGGCCCTGGGCGCAAAACGCTTCGAAAGAGAAAGAGAGAGAGAGAGAGAGAGAGAGAGAGAAAGAGAGCTACCCTCCTTCGTCTCCGTCCCATCAATGTAACAAGGGAATGATTATTGGGAGGAAGTGTAACCGCGCACGTGTTTCAGCATAACCTCCAACTCACAGCGAAGTGAAGTGCCAAGCAAAAGGGTTCACTATCCATTTAAACATCACTCCACTCCAAGGAAACTAAATGGTATTGTCTCAAAATCGAGGAACCCCCAGTATGGATAATATCCTTCTATTTTCCCTTTAAGCCAAGTACATTCACAAGTACACACTCAAGTTAACATTGGCCCAAGCAACGTTCAAACCGCCCAAAGCGTCAATCGCGGCCCGCGCAGCCAAGCCAACCCTGGCATTGGACCCGCCGAGGTGCTGTGTCCGGGTCCGCCCACGCCTGGCACAGCCGTGTCAGTGAGCAAGAGTCTCAAAAAGTGATTCACACCACGCCCAAATAGCAATGGCTTCATGTTGGTCTCGTTTTTCAAGGAACCAAAACGGGCTCTGGGCTCTGGGTGTGATACGTCGCTGCATCCGTGCTTACCCTTGCCGATCCTCCCCCGCTCAATTTGCACCTCAAGCAGCGAGGTCACAATGGGCCCGTGCCCTGACATGGCCGCAAACATCAAGGCGGTGCAGCCGTCCTGTCACAAGAGTGAGGCTCAACAAAACTTTGCAGATGGACCCCTCTTTGATTCACTTTCATCCTATGCACGTCTTCGTGCGTGTCGTCACACACATCCCCCCGATCTTCATGGAACACCTCTGACCCATCAAAAGGTTCGCCCAGGTCGCCTGGTGTCGATCCCATCCCGCTCCTTGCGGGCCAGATCCACCGTGGCGCTGTTGTTCAGCAGCTCCAAAACGACCCCAGCCTATGAGCTCCAGGGATTCGGCAGGAAAAACCAACCAGTTTGAACTCGAACTCTGGCTGGTTCAGACCCAAGGAACAAGGGCAGGTCAGGGAAGTTCTTCAAAGCGCGCAGTGCCGAAAGGACAGGCAATCTCAGCAACCAGCAGTAGCCAGGGTGTGGAAACGCCAAGCTTGATTCTGTTTACGTGCGTGCACGTGCGTAGGCTGGTTTCCGCATAGCTTCCTTGTCGCAAATTAACAAATTGGGCTCTCTTTTTGCAGACATGCTTGCATAACTTCCTAGAAGCTTAACCTCCATATTTCCCTTCAGCCTCATCTCTGATCTTACGAGCGGAATCCCAACTTAGAGCCACAGCCATCCTCTTGTTCTCCGATCCGCCTTGCCACCCTGCGCAGCCACCATCAATGGGGAGGCTCCATCCTGGAGAGGCAATACTTTCATCCAAGCGTGATTTGGCGGTTTAAACCCCCCTTGAGACCAATTGAAATAGTGGTTGGTGTCAACATCCCATCCACTGCAAGTGTGAGCAGATTGTTTGACATCTCTCTGGGCAAATGCACACGGTTCATGTGAGAAAGCAAAAACAAGGCTCGAATAGCAACAGCACCAGCAGCCACCCCTACAACACCAAGCGCTGGCTGGTGCGAAGTGGGGCGCGGCTTGCCACTCAACATTCCATTAAGATTCAGGTGTTCAAGTTGTCCAACTTCCGCGGCGGGCAAAGTGCGGAACGAAGCATGCAAATAGATATATGCCAGCTTCCCATAATTCGGACTCCCCTTCCTGTTGTTCTGGGAGGCCAACATTAGTTCATGCACGCAAATGTAGGTTGCGCGAAAATTGCCTTCTATACGTGCATGATGCATGTGTGCATATCTCTGCCCACAATCCATGTACAGGCACGCTCTATTCTGGAGTGATCAAAGATCACCCTGACCATTAATTCCGCTTTGGTCACTGCTACCAAATGAAAAACCCATGCCCTCCTGAGTACGAACTGCAAGGTAACATGGGAGCACCGTACCTCACTTTCCGCTCGCAGCCGTACACTTACGCAGTACACATCAAATGTGTCTGCCTTTATACGCACTAAATGAGGGATGATGCATGGAACACCCCTCCACAATGAATTTCTTCGTGGCAGAATGGGATGGCCTCAAACAAAGCTTCATTCAATCTGAAGGAACAATTAGAGGAATGGTGCCATTGATCCGTGTTTAAGGGCTGGCAGGCTCACTTCCCCAGCGAAGCATACCCACCCAGCACACATCGCCGCGGCATTCCCGGATGCTGTCTAGCTCAAAAAATGACCTAGCACAAAAATATGCAAACCCTGCAAATGCGCTGGCTGCATTGCAGCAAATCCCTCACCGATTGTGCTTCGAGGGACCCTTGTGGTGGCTTGAAGGGAAAACAAAAAGGAAACTCTGTTTGAGGGTACCCTTTTCCACCTGGGTTTATGGGAAATCGAATTTGAGGGGCTGCCCTCACTTTGTCGCACGCACCCTCCGCTCAAAGTCACTCCTGCCGCTGCGTGTCCGCAGAAGCGTTGAGGGCCAAGAGCAGCGCCGCGGCCTCGATGGAGCCGCACCTGGCCCAGCGAGATGCCACATCCGAGCTGGAACCCGGTGACCAGAACCCACTGGGTCTTGGTCCGGGACTCTCCGAAGGTGAAGTGCCCATCGCACGATGCATCTCGCGGTCAAAGGCTGCATTGCCAGGTTAAGGTGCAGAGACCGCATTGAAAGGACCACCATGAATGAACCCCCCGAGGGGGAAACGAGGTGGCGACATCTGGCGATCTCCAAGAGCCTTTCGACTCCGAAGGCGCCCAACGCGAAACACGGCGTGTGCCTGGCAGCCTCGAACAGCGCCGTGCCGCCTGGCGCGCACTTTCGAAGGCATGGGAATTCCAGGGAATTCCCGCGTCAATTGGACAAACATCCCCAATGTAAACTCGGATCCGTAAAGGGGCGGAATCCGCTGAACGTACAAGGGAAATCAGCGAAGACTGGGTAAACTAGATTCACCCACCTATTAACCACATACGGCATACAACCGCCCTGTGCGGCATCGCCATTTCATTGAAATGCCGACTTTTGACTTCCGACCCGGACACTGCTCAGATCTGGGAAACCAATGCTGGTTCTCAGTCGGGGAAGGAGACACCTCCCCTGTTCCATGCCTTGTGGCTTTCTCACCTGCCCAAAGGACCCCAGAAATGACAGGTTACCTTTACTATGGACCAAAAGGGAAAACCAAAAGGTCAAAATGCCGGGCTTGTACAAGTGAGGTAGGAAACAAGGGAACTCCCCTGACCCATCCAGCTGCTCACTTCCTGAGTGGCTTGGCCAAGACAAAGAGGTATCCGAACTTTATTTATTGAACACTAAAATTTGGTCCAACCCCCCAAAGTGACTCTACAGTCCAGGAACTCAGGGGGTGCGGCTGGTGTTTCCTCCAAACACCCAAAGCATACCTTCGTAACTCGCGCGCAACCGCGCCTTTCTCCTCGCGGGTCTCGAGGTCCGCGCCAGACTCGATGAGCTCCGCCATGACGTCGCCTCGGCGAAGTCCCAAAAGCCAAGTCGTGGCTCAGAGGAGCCCCACAATGGGGAAAACGCCTGGCAAAAATGGGGAACCAATTCGACCGGAATGAAAACCACAAGGACAGTCACCAGAGAACCACAAGCATGTCCATTAGAATCCCTCTGCACAAGGAGCAGACAGATTCCCTAAGCAGAAGCCTGCAGCAAACGGCCTGGGGACGGAGCTGTCACCAGGCTTTCAAAAACGCAGAGGTGACGACCCCTCTGCTTCTTTTGGTTGTCCAACGGCTTGAGCAGGCAAGCCGCTATACGTTGAACGCTTAAAGGTGCAGGGTCCCAGCCACTGCAGGATGCAGAAAAACTGGATTGTCTGGGGTGAGTAAACTAAATGGAAAGGTCGCTTGTCTGTGTTTGGTGGCCAAATGATTGATTTGTTGGCAAGAACCCTTCCTGAAACTAGGCCCTCGGTTTGAACACAATTCAACACTCAACCTTTTGAAGAGACACTGAGATACCAACATTATTCATTTGTCTATGAGCCGCCATGATCCAGGGAAGACATGTCCAATTCAGTCTCCCAGCCCACAACCAAAAACATATCTTGCAGGTGAGCCACGTGAGCTGAAGCAAGGCAACACAAACGAACCAAACCACTACCAAAAACAGCAAACCGAAGCAACTTGCATCCGATCCAACCAAATCTCAACCAACCCCTGAAGCCACCGATGCCAAACAGATCCGTAAACAAATGGGGCACCATGCCGCCAAAGCTGAGAGGGTATTCAGCAAGCAACAAATCCTATGCTCTTGAAGGTTCCAACGCAAAATCCAAGTTTGAACTGGCTTTTCTGGAAACATCCAAGTTCCAAAAGTCCATTTATGTGTCTGGCTGTCTGTCTCTGTCTGTCTCTGTCTGTCTCTGTCTGTCTCTGTCTGTCTCTGTCTGTCTCTGTCTGTCTCTGTCTGTCTCTGTCTGTCTCTGTCTGTCTCTGTCTGTCTCTGTCTTGTCTGTCAGAAGTGCTTGTTTTGTTGGGTTTCTTCTTCTTTTTTGCGTGGGTTACAAGTTACAAGGGAATTCACAGGGAAACCGCCCTTTCCTGGCTCCCACAATTTCGACAAACACACTTAGACTCACCTACACTCCCTCATAGGAATTCAAAAGGAAACCGCCCCAGAACCTTACAGGCCAAGCCGCTGTGCCCGGCGCGAGCCGCCACCATCAGCGGCGTGAGCAGCTGCTCGGTGGGGCTATCCACCTGACTCTCCCAGGCCCTCGACTTCGGATCCATCTCTCGTGCCATAGGGAGTCGGACCCCAACAAAACATGAAATCGAGATATGTGCTTTTGGTTAGTTTGGCCTCCCTTCAAAACCCCAACATGTGCAGGGCACACTCCAAAAAGCACACACCCGGTTACACAACGGAGGCTCAGCACGGGTGGCATATTGAAAATCCATTCCAGGCGCTCGAGCCAATGAACCCGTTCCCGGATGATAAGAAAAAAAGAAGAAGAAGAAAACAAACTATGCGCCTTGCCTTACGCTTTGTTCTAGCTGTGAACAAACTGCCTACCCGGGCCATGGGCATGGCTCCCTTCGCTTAATTCATGACTATCCCTAGTCACTGAGGAAGCAGGTCTTTTGGCGATGGACAATCCGTCAACAAAACAATCGAACGGAATGCACCAGTCTCGTCCAAATGCTTTGATTGAGAAGCATCATAAGCATATTGTTCTTTGGTGACGTTTGCTACAAATAGGCATCAAAGCAAAGCAAGTCAGTAGCGTTGGCAAACACCAACAAGGCACCGGCCGCCAAAAAATCACGGAACCTCCGCAACACACCGGGACATGCTTGTTGTTGATTTGTCAGGGCAACTGTGCGGGAGCCGTTTCCGCACGAAAGCGAGGAACCGCATTTGGGGCCCATGCAAGATCATACTTTGGACGGGAGTTAGCTCTCATTAACTTGGATATGGTTCCAAGGGTGAATACAAGTTTGGGCTTGTCTCGACATGACGGACACGCAGAATGGATGGTGTCTTTCTTGCCCTAAGCAATCAACGATACTGGGTACCCTGACCAAACAGCTGCCCAGGGCTATCAACTGGTTCCCGCACACTTACTAGACTCAACGTGCCAGTTGCCGAGTGTGCCTTGTACAACGGACCCCAATGGTTTGACCATTTCTGGTGGGGAGCCTACCAAACAAAAATGGGAATCTGAGGGTTGAATCCACTGAACAACTGGGAGCTCGTTCTACCAAGATGGTCAAAACGCCTCACACAGGTCATGCAATATCCATTAAACCAAACAGAACCTGCCAAACAAAAAAGGGTTTCCACCTGGCCACGCGGTTTTGGTCCCTGTTCGACCCCTCGGATCCCCGTTTGGATCCGCCCAAAAGCATTTCACGACGAGCGCGGCGGGCAACGCGTGGCGCCCGGCCTCCGCGCCGGCCTCCAGGAGCTGCGCGGCCAGCTGGGTGAAGCCGAACTGGGCCGCCCGGTGCAGCGGCGTGGCCTGCGTTCGCGTTTCCGGTGGGTTGCTGTGGGCTTCATCAACTGCTTGTGGCCATGGAAAAGCCGAGTTGGTTCAACCAAACGGTCGAAGCCCGAATATCTGCTAATAGCCATAAAGCTTCCCAAAATTCTTTGCAATCGGTCAAGAGATTCAAGCCCCTTTCAATCTCAATCCTCTTGGGGGTTTTCTTCCTCACAAAAGGGTTTCTTATCAACCACAGTGTCAGGTCCTGAGGGACCCGGGTCCCATTTGGGTCTGAAAGGGGCACCTTGAGAACTTCGTCAGACAGATCCATTTCCCCCCCCATTTCCAGGGATTCTTTGAGGAAATCCACCCAAACACAACCGGTTTGTGGATAGAACGATGGTTGAACAGAATCGGGAATGCGCAGCCAGGTTCAAGGGATCAACTTCCTGAAGCCCCAAAAAGCTGCTCCTTTTTCGGTCAAAAGGCTTTGACCGAAGGGCAACAAGTAATGCAGTCAAACACATGTTGTGTTTCTTGCTTTTCAAAATATGTTTTCTTAATATAATACGGTCAAATACGAGCAAATAAGGCAAATGACTGAACACAAACAAACAGAAGGGTAAAAACTGGCCAAATACGCCCTGCGAGCTCCTGGTTGGTACCAAGCAGGTCTCGAAGAGCACCGAAACCTATGCATGTCGTTTTTGGAGCTGGTAAGCTCTATTGCGCGGCCGGCAATATGTAAGGGTATTCGGAGAGATGTTTGAGACAAGCACACACTGTCCCTTCAAATACACGTATTGGCTTGGTCAAGGGTCTGGCTGGGGCAAGTAAATTTGTCTCTCGGGAAGTCGGCATCCTTTCAGGCACGAAGAACGGGCGCTATCCAAAACAGGCACCCCCGCAGTTCCTTCCTCACTCCCGCGGAGCACCGGGTTCCTTCCCCATATACCCCATATACCCCAAACGTTTGAAAAAAGGCATCCCCAAGTTCCCACCGCACATGTCCCCAAACTCAAAACATCACCCATGGGAAACTCACCTTGGATCAGCCAAGGGCGAGGGGACTCCCCCAACCAGCGCGATGATTTGACTCGCGATCCCCGGCCCCCAGCACGTCGCGGGAGTCCACCGGCGCCCCCGCGGCCAGAAGCTGCGCCACCGCCCTGGAGTTGTTGCCTGCGAAACGGTCCCCAGTTGTTTCTGAAGAGGTCAGTTGTAACGAAACCATGGGGTTTGTAACATTATCCAAGAGGGGAACCTCTCTTGACCCAATTCGCTTGATGCACGAAAGATTGAGCGACATGAAAGCCAGTCTTTTGCTCGCCCAGCTGCTTTAGGAGTGCCCCAAATCCCAAACTGTGTCTGCCAAAATGAGGGACCCCTCCAAAGATTGGCCTGCTCCTTCCTTAATTACTTTGCCAGAGACAAAGGGCTTGCCCTGGTGCAATGACCAAACAAGACGGCGCTTCTGTTTCACAGGACTCCTGATTTCACCTTTTGCCGGGCATGGGAAGGTTGGCCGGGATGCCCATTGCTGTGTTCGAGCATGAACCAATATGTTGCCGTCAGGAAGTCAACGCCAGTCCTTGCCGCCTTTCAACAGCCATATTCCAAATTGTTGACCTAAACACTTCTGCAAGCGTCTCACCCGCATGACCCAAGTTTGAGTCATGTAGATGTCACATCTCAACATTGCAAACCCCACTGGCATGCACCATCACTGGACCAAAGGTTGAAATTGCAAAACCCAGCTGTTCTTGCAAATTGGCAAAGCGACACTTTGGGGGTTTGCGGCAGACGACAACCCAAGATTTGCACTTAGCTCGGTGTTTTAGCTACCAGCAACTTGCTGGAGAAGACCCTGTGCGTTGGTCCGAAATCGCTGTCAAAATGTCCCGCACCCATGTGATAGAGCGCCTGTGACGAATGGAGCCACGGTTCAGAGAGCTGAGTACCTTCACTAAGGAAACATACTATGGACTGTGGGGAAACAAACCCTGGACCGTGGCTCGCAGCGATACTCTGCCTGCCAAGTGTTCAAAAATGTGGCCTCAGCTGTCACTGCCCGGAACCATGTCCCAGGGGTCGTCCGCGTCCTCCATTTGAGCGTCTGTCGGATCCGGCTCTGCGCGCGAGCCAGACCGCGTCGAAGCAGAGCCCGATTGACCAAAGGGAACAGCAGCCAGGTCCTGTTAAACAAAAGCACAGCCACAAAGACACACTAAATACACACGCAGGCACTCAAACACGTACGTACACATATATATATATACTGTATGTATACACATGTTACACAGACACAAGCACAGGCACAGAGAAACAAGGACATTGCACGCATGAGCAACAAACTTCATTCATGATTTCTGTTGGTAGGAAATTGGATAACCTCACAAATGTCCCGGCCAAACGAACTACAAACTACCAGTGCAGCAATAGTGTCTGCGCGGAGCTGCGCACAGAGACCATCCACTCGTCCGATGCCTTGCTCCCAGAAGCCTTGGAAAGACACACAGTCACACAGAGTCTCTTGAACATGTTGGTTTCTGTTGACCCTGTTGAGTGCTGTGTCTGTGTGTGTTTAAAGGTAGTGTCAGTCCTGGAACAATCCCCCCCTACATGATTCATAGGGTTGCAACCGGCTAGAACGAATCCTTCACCTGGGGAAACGCACCCCCTTGCCTGCTAACCCTTCAAGGCATACGTAGTGAAAAGCTGGCTCCCATGACTAACTTCACAGGGGAAGCCCGTGCAGAAAGCGCACACGTTTTCCAGCAAGAGTTTCAGGGCCCGGCGAGCTCATTTAGTGCGTGGGTATGATTGATACATGTGAGTCCTTGAAATTCCGAAACCCAGGCGCAAAAAGGCTACCCTCAAAACGACAAACACAAACATCGCTCTGAGGCACGTTCGCGGGAGGTGGTGAGAAAGATCCTCGATTCGTCCATGCCAGTGGCCTGGGTTCCCATTTCCACAGCTTTATGATTCTTTGCCACACATGAACCCAACAACTAAAAAAAACATGTTCTGAAGCTGGCGTTCTTATTTTGACTGTTTCTGGGGCATATCAAATTGAGAAGCGGAAAAACAACGGGGCCAAAACAGTACAAGACCATTTCCTCGAAAATGGCCTCGGCCACTCGCTGCTGCACGTTCGTCAACGTCTGCTCAGGGGTCCAGCTATGGTCGTGAGCCCCGTCGTCGACCGCAATGTCGACCTGTTGGCCAAACCCGAACTCATGGCCAAAATCAGGGGATGGTTCACCCCAAGAGTTTCAAAACGGCTTGTTAGGACCCAAAGGCTCAGGCCTCGTGAGGCTCCAAAAGTCCGAAAACGTGGGAATGTCTCGAAAATTGAATTTCCGCGTTCCCCTGTCAAAACTGATTGTTGGTTTCCCCTCAAAGCCGGCGAACAGGTCTTACCCTCAAGCAAAGGATCCTTTTTTTATGTGACAAAAACGCTCAACTTGCCGTTTTTTGCTCGACCCCCCAAAAAAGACGATCGCCCCCCGGAAAAGAAAAAAACAACTCGAGCAAATCCCTTCTTTCATCCGGAGGAAGGCGGGCAATTGTTAAGTCGTTTTTTTCTGAGAAACAAAATGCACTTGTTTGCGATAGTTGCGCTCGTTTTGCGGCTATTTTGCGCTTGTTTTGCACTTCGATTTCTGCTCGTTTTGGGAAAAACGCTCGAAGCGGGGAAAAGTGTACGGTTCCCACATAGATGGTGACGACCCCTGGTTTTGCAATACGTTTGGGCTAAGGGCAGAAATTTAGCTAACGAAGGGTGCTCCAGGAGAAAGAAGGAAACCGCCCACCTTGCTCCTGGCGATCATGCAATGGATCTCCGCGAAGCGGATGGCCTGCAGTAGACTGGCGTCGTTCTCGGACCAGCGCCCATCCGTCACGACCACCACCACGTCGAAGTACTTCAAACCCATGTTGCATAGGTACGTCTTGGAGGGGATGGCCTGCGCCAACCAAATACAAGCGCCTTTGAAGCAAATGTGGGCGCCAACTGAACAGGAACCAGAAAAATGCGAAGCTTTGCCAGGGGTTGCATGTCTGGTTGTTTCACTTGCATGTCGGAGTCTGCCAGCCCGTCCTTGGTCCCTTGCCCTGGGAGGTCCCAAAGAGTCACCTCGCCAGCATCCCTCAGGGGAAGGTTGATGGGAGTGGGCGCCAGAGTTCCGTCGGACTGCAGCGACACGGTGAGCTGCCTGGTTCAATTACAGTAACTCCCGTGAATTGAGAGGACAACTTTCCGACACACACACACACACACGCACAAACATCTTTGTCTGCGGCCAGTTGCAATTGAATCAAAGGGGAAGTTGAAAACTGCTTCTTTAGTTTTCTTTTAAGAGAATTCACCGAACAAAGGAAAACACTCTGCCACTGGGCAACTGGGCTGCGTGTCCAGATTCCGGCCGATCAACTGCTTGAACACCGCCTGAGCGCTCGTGATCCCTACTGCCTTGCGCGTTGAGGCTGGCCCAAGGCAACTTGCTCATTAAATTTAGGGGGACAAAACCACACCCGCGTCCCCCCAAGCCTCGGAAAAATGGCAATTACCGCCACTCAAAACACAACAAATCTTGTACAATCGGGCAGACTGCAAGCTGGCAGGCGGCCAACTCACCGCCTACGGCCCCTTCAGGACTCCTTCGGGCACCCGCCTTGATCAGCGAGGTCTTGCCCTTCCCAGAGTCCCCCAGCAGCGCCACGTTCGTGCGCACGGTGGTGCCCTCCTGCTCCTCCACTGTCTGGTGCGTTGGAGTCAAGTAGCTCTCCAACCAAGCCTGAGGCGCGCTCAGGCATCTTTTTGGAAGCTAGAAGAAAAAAAACATCCAAACCAAACCATTGGGAAGTAACCTTTTTGAGCCAGCCCAATGGAATTTCAATTAACTTACAAAAGAAATGAAAGGGAGAATTTGGATCCGAAGGCCGAATTGCCCATGAAGTTCGGGCGCTTCCAAGATTGGGCACTCGAATGCAGGAGACCTTTCGGACAGTCACACAAACACAAACACACACACACACACACACACCCACCCACCCACCCACCCACCCACCCACCCACCCACCCACCCACCCACCCACCCACCCGCCCGCCCACCCACCCACCCACCCACCCACCCACCCACCCACCCACCCACCCTCCCGCGCACACACGCACGCCACGCACCCACGCACCCACGCACCCGCACACGCACCCACACCACGCACCCACGCACCCACGCACCCACGCACCCACGCACCCACCACACAACCCACCCACCCCACCCACCCACCCAGACAGACAGACAGACAGACAGACAGACAGACAGACAGACAGACACAGACAGACACAGACAGACAGACAGACAGACAGACAGACAGACAGACAGACACAGACAGACACACACACACAGACACACACACACACACACACACACACACACACACACACACACACACACACACACACACACACACACACACAGACACACACACACACACACACACACACACACACAGACAGACACACAGACACACACACGCAGACACACGCAGACACACGCAGACACACACACACAGACACACACAGACACACACAGACACACAGAGACACACAGAGACACACAGACACACAGACACACAGAGACACACAGAGACACACAGAGAGACACACAGAGACACACACGAGACACACAGAGACACACAGAGACACACAGAGACACACAGAGACACACAGAGACACACAGAGACACACAGAGACACACAGAGACACACAGAGACACACAGAGACACACAGAGACACACAGAGACACACAGAGACACACAGAGACACACAGAGACACACACAGACACACACAGACACACACAGACACACACAGACACACACAGACACACACAGACACACACAGACACACACAGACACACACAGACACACACAGACACACACAGACACACACAGACACACACAGACACACACAGACACACACAGACACACACAGACACACACAGACACACACAGACACACACAGACACACACAGACACACACAGACACACACAGACACACACAGACACACACACACACAGACACACACAGACACACACACACACACACAGACACACACAAACACAGACACACAGACACACACACACACACAAACGGCCACACCATGCAATCTCCGAAGGGAGATTAGGAACCAAAGCACGGGCATCCCTTTGGTTTCCCCCAAAAGCAAAAAACAACTGCCAAGGGGCAGGTACACCCAAATCAAGCAATTTCCAAAGCCAAGCTTGAGGCAATGCCACTCATTGAGTACAGAACTCTTTCAACCTGAAACGCAAGGACCTACAGGATTTCCCAAGGAAAATGAGAGGCCACGCATTCTGTGTGGGGCACAAATATGTTACCAAGTATTTGTTGAGTAATTTCCACACTCGCTTGCCCACAGCTAGAAACCAATGACTAAACCCTCGAATGCTGGAAATGGATGCACATATTAACACGAACACAAGCTTGTGACAGTCATCTTTGCACCTCCTGCAACATCCCCAAAAGAGTCAGAACTCTCTTTTTTTCCCGTATCTCCCGTCAAAAAATGGCGCCTGGTCAGTCTGGTTTCCTGCCGAAAGTTGTTCAGTAGCCAAAGTTTCAACGAACAGAACCAACATGTCAAGTGGTGCCCAGAACCTTCTGCGAGCGTGTTCTTGGAGCGTGTCTACGAGGGTTCCTCACTGGCCCCTTTCAACATCACCTCGGCCAAAACAGACTGAGTTTAACATGGCAACCGACAAACATACGTGGTCTCAAATTAGGGTAACCACCTAAGGCTACCCTCCAAAAATCACACACCAACCTGGCCGCATGCGCCGAAAAAACAGATGGGCGCGCCGGGCGGCCGGCACAGGGTAGTCGCGGTTCAAGCGCTGCCACCGCGCCAACTTCTCCGCGTGCACACGGCGCCGCTCCTGCTGCAGCTCCTCCTGCACGCGCCGCTCCGAAGCCTCGCGCTCCTGCAGCTTCTTGCGAAAGTTTGGTTTGGTGGTTGGTGGGGATTGGTTTGATGAGCGCTACTGGTTCGAGTCTAGACTTTTTACTGGTCACCTAGTTTGGAGTGGTTTCGATGTGTTTAGCTTGGCTTCAATAAGACATGCCCAAGTTTGCGTCGACCCCATCGTTGGTTTCCCTTGGATTTCTCGGGGCCTTTGCAACCACAAGGTCATTTCCCGGGGCCAACGAAAGCAACGAGCCACGAGTCTGGCCATGGCCAGTCCGACGCCACCCCGTCCTCCACGAGGCGCTGCGCAGCTGTGGCCGCCTCCTCCGCACGCAGCCGTTGCTCGTCCAGGGCCCGTTGCCGCGCTTCGGCCTCTGCTGCCTGCCAAACGGAACCCAAGCCTGAGACTTTGGGAAGCTCAAACATGGCTAGCATTCAGAATCCATGAAACCCCTGCAGGATGCCAGGTAGAGGCCCTCCAAAGGGCCAAAATGGAGGCCAAAACTGGCCTGGGCTTGGAAAATACATACCAAAGTCGTTGATTCCCATCCCCATGACTTGCTCAAGTAATCGACCCTGGCCCACTGAAATCGGCCATCTCGAGAAAACAATCTCCCACGCCTGATCATCCCCATCCCAGAGTGCCACCCTTCTATTGGTTGAATTCCAAAGAAACTCGAAGCTACGTACCCCCACCACCCAAAGACCCGCGAGCACCCTCTCCAGCGGCCCAAACCGCATCTCGCCTGCGATTGCTGCAGGCGCCGGGTTGACTCGGCGGCTTCTTGGTCGTGGCGTGCCTGAGCGTCCCTCAGCTGCTTCTCGATCTCCCCCTCCGCTCACGGGCGTTTGATCGAAACCATTTGCCAAACATCCTTCGGACACCGGAAAAGATGGAACAAAATGATATGAAGAGAGCCTGGAGCTTTCCGAATCCCGCGCCTGGCGTTCTTGGTACTGCTGCATGTGTTGGTTCGCATCGTTCCGCGCCGCCTCCATTTGCTGTTGCACCGTCTCCAGCGCCTGGCGGGCGGCCGCCGCGGCCTCCGAGGCGGCCGCCGCCGCCCGATCCGCATGCTTGGAACCCCCGTTGCCCATGACGACGAGAAAATGGCACGGCGAAAGCTGAGAGTCTGAGCACTGAAAGGCCGGCACCGCAGGCAAAAAGCCGACATGAATGTTGAGAAGCCTCTGGGATACACCTGCATGGACGGACTCAAATCTGCGGTTCTACTCCTTGGGGGGGGAGTTCGGCATGGCAGTCCTGTATTCAAACTTCCTATATACATATACCAAACCGGTGAAGCCTAGTATGATCCTGCATGATGCGGCAATAGTCTCCTGAGAAGACCCATGGCAAAACCAGTGTCACACGTTCAAGCCGAATGCGCACGTCAATGAACTCTAACTCGCTTCGCAGTTGGAATCATCGCTGTAGAGTTGCCAATCACGTGCTTCAAAATGTTTACTATTACTTAATTTCAGCATCCTCGTCGTGGTTTTCGAGCGGGCCATGGTGGCATTGTTCAAGCAGTTTTGCAACCGACCTTGAAAACAGATCCGGGAAAGTGGCAGGCGGACGCCGGACATCCAAGACTCGCGCGAAGCCTCCCGTTGCAGCAACCACTTGCTGCAGAAGACCGTGCATTGGTCCGAAATCGTCCAAACTGTCGCCGCTTTGATTGATCCGCCGACGAACGGACCCGGGTTCTATCTGGGGTCTCTCTCTATAGTGGACCCTTTGTTTTTGATGGGTGCTACAGGGAAACCACCTGGAGTCCCCAATCTTGATCAACCCCCATCTGAAAAAAGAAAGCCTGAGTTTGCAGCTTGGCTCCGAAACGCGACCCGGGCACTCCATCCGTCCGGCGCCTTCCACCGCCGCAGCCAGCGCCGTGGCTCCCGAGGCCGTGGCCGCGTCAGGCGCGGCGTTGGCGGCCAGCAGCAGCGGCAGCGTCTCCCCGTCCCCGGCAAAGGCCGCGGCGATGACGGCTGTGGCCTTGGGGGGTGGGCCATGGGCAAGTTAGTTTCTTCATAGATTGTTCACGGGGTTTTGTTCATGGGTTGTTCATAGTTTGTCATTGGTGATAGCTTCATGGGTTGTTCGCCCGTCCAGACCTCCACGTTTTGCTGCTCGGGCCGTGGTGGCGCGAGAGGGCACTGGGGATTGATAAGGGAAATATATCTGGAGGTTGATCCGAAAGGGGGGGGTGATGGTTGATTGATTCACGGAACTCGGCGAACAACAAGCCAACTCAAAAACCATCCCAAATCAAATCACCAATCCCGAGATCGGAACAAGAACCCGCCCAGAGAAGCCATGCCGCCATGTGACTCATGGCCCCAGTGATGACTCACGAAAAAAGTGACTCGCCAGGACCCAGGGCCATTCCCCGCGGCTCAGCTCTGCTCTCGGCCCCCACACCCCGTTGGAGTTCTTCGCTTCCACGTCCGCCTTGGCCGCCAGCAGCTTCTCTACCAGCTCTCCATGCCCCGCCGCAGCCGCCGCGATCCTGTGTGCGGGGGATCTCAGAAACACGATGTGCACATTGGGTCATTGCATTCCCTGATATCTTGGGTGTGTTGCGCTGGTCAACTGTGCGTGTGTGGTGTGCTTGGGTCCCATTATGCTATTGAGTTCGTTTGAGAGCGAGCTTCCTTTTCCATTCAAATATTGAAGAGTCCTCAAGTGCTCCGACTTGCTTGCAGCTGACACTTGAGGGGTGTTGGCACCCAGTTAGCATAACACACCTGCAGGAATTATTCGGATCGCGTGGAGCGGCCACGTCACTTTGTAAGTCGTCTGTGTCTCACTCGGCTGATCCCACAAGGAACAACAATGTTGAAACAACCCCTTGGCAAAGTGCGATCTTTACAAGACGTCCGCCAACTGCCCGACCAAACACGTTGCAAGACTCACCTGTCACATCCAAATTCCTTCCTGCGTGAGGCCGTTGTATCTTCCTGCTGCTTTTCAAATATCTGAAATCAATTGAATCTATTCAGCTCGCACTTAAAACCAACTGACAAGACCCCAGCAGCTGACATGGCCACTGTTAAGAATCAAACATCCATTCATTCTCTTTCCAATACACATTTCCGGTTTAGTGGAAAGGAAGCCTTGGGTCACTGCATGCAATCTTTCCAATTTTTCCAACTCTGCAGATCCAAATCCTGGAGTTGGGGCTCAATGGAACAAGGCTCAATGAAATGCCTGAGGCAACTGAGGCAACGGCATTTGTCAGAAAGAAAAAAATCTCAGCTGCCAGAATCAATGTGCAGGTGCAATACAGGTTAGTTTTCGGCTTGTCAAGTCTTTCCATCTCAGCGAAACAATAAACACCAGCAAAAAAAAAGCAGTAGCTAAACTAGGATGCCGTACCTTTCCTCTGAGCCGAAAGCAACTTCGCATGTCTCAGCCAAAGGCAATGACCAACGACTGCTCACACAACTTGCTGCCCTAGCGCCGCTGGAGCCCCCAACTTAGAGTCGTGCGGTCTGCCTAGGAACGACGTTGCACAATGAACATGATCGCAGGAGCATGCAAAGTTCTCCCAATCCACACCATGAATATCATACCAAGCACAGATCATAAAGACTTGTAATAGGCCTAAGTAATTTTCCAATACAGCCCCTAGAGACGGCACGGAACTCCAGACTTCGAACCCGCTCCAGACCCAAAGCCACTGCTCCATGGAAACCTCCAGAATCTTTCCAGCCGCCCGGTCACACCTTTCAAAACCTTCCGCCAAAGCGGAACCTAGCGAAATTTTCCAGCACCACCCCGAACCTTGCACAACTGCCCGGAACCCGACTTCTCGGCAAAGACCCCACAGCTTTCGGTTGTCGCGGAAGATGAACAATTGCATGGCTTTGAAGGCAGGCCAAGAGTAGTAAGCTCACAAGGCCGGCAAAGACGTGCAAGCAACGGGTAGGCTTGAGCAAGGTCGGGAACCGGGTGAGAGCGCACCGCGAATTATGGCGTGGAATGGAGGGCTTGGCTGCCCGCTTACCAACAGCCTTGCTGCGCGTCCTCCCTTGCCCACAGACATCAAGAAAAGCTTCGGGGTCTTGACTTACTGCTCACAGAAAAAAAGGCCATCGATGGGAAAAAACGCAACTGCGCCCGCAACGAAACAACCTGATTTCAATAATTTCCCGTGGAACCAAACCACCGGCCATGCATTCGGCCCTCCCCTCCCGTCGTCCGAGCGTCAGCGGGCGCTGGCCATCCCCGTCTCTCCCATCGCAGTCTGCGCCCCGCGCCAACAGCTCTGCGAGCAACTCCGCATCCCCCACCTGCCGAAGCAGCTTGAACCGCATTCGTCGTGTTTACTTTTTGGTTTGGGGCGGGGGGATTGTTGGGGGGGGGTTGTTGGTCCTATGAGCATGACTAAACATGGACTCGTGCCCCAAAACATCCTATTGTAATTTGCCAGGCCTGCTACCCCGATGCTTGTTGCCCAAAGTAAACGAGATGGTTCACAAACAAAACAGACTGCGGTTCCCGCCCAAAATAGCTGGCCTTAAACAACGGGTATCCCCGGAAAGCGGGGACAACCCAAGGTTTCACGACGTAATTGGCATTATTCCCCATGTTTGGACGGCCCGCAAAGGAACACTACGTTAAACCTGTCAAAACAAAAGGCAATCTATTTCAGGTTCAATTACCCAAACGGTGCACCCCGATTGAAAAGTGGCACAACCTGATGCCGAAACCAGTCCTGTGCAAGGGCTGGTGTATTTTCCCCTCGGGTGAAGCAATGTGAAGCCAGTGTTGTTTCACTGCGTCAGTCCCAGTCACCTCTGACACCACAGGCATCAAGAATTCCTCCTGCACACTAGACTTGAATTCGGCCTTTGCCGGCGGGTACCAAACAGGTTGGGCACTAAATAACGCAAGCCTTGTTCCCTTGACAGCACATCCCTTCGCACCTTCGCCGCCGCCACTAACTCAGCGCCCTCGTTTTCGCGGTCCTCTGCGGCGAGGCGCCGAACCTGGCCCGGCCGAAAAAGGGAAGCAACGAGGCCCCTGCACTGCGCTGGAAGGACTTCTTAGTTCTTTCACTTCTTTCACTTCTTTCTGTTGTCTCTCACGCCTCTCAGTGGAAAGGAATTCGGCCAGTGGGCCCAGCACCGTCACTCCTCTCGATTCCAGCCTGCCGTCTGGGCGATCCGCTTTGCAAGCCTGCGATCGCTCTCCATGTCTTGAGATCATATCGTGCTGAGGCCCTTCCAAGGATCCCAAGCCTTGCCCACACCAACAACAGCCATGCCTCTTTCGCTTCAAGAAAGGAGAGCACGGCATGCGAACTGACCAGGCCTTGCAATTGCGCAACGAGTTCCAAAGCTTGATGCAACAAAGTGCCCACCCGTTCAACCCTCGCGAAACCGCAAGCACCAAGGAGCAAACTTGGAGCAATTGCATGCCTTTCCTACGAAACACGAGGCCCAAGTGAGAAACCGAAACCCGTGCCTGTAAAGGCGAGAAACGCCCAATGCAAAAGAGTGCAAAGGGTGCAAAGGGTCAACAGCCGTAGTGGCCGGAACGCCATGGCTTCGCAGCTGAAAATCAGCTGAATGAGCTGGGATTGGCCTTGTAGAGTGTTGGGGTATTGGGTTTGCTTGGTCCAGTTTCTAGCTCGGAGGGCTTGGCCTTGTCCGGTCTCTTGCTTCTGTACTTCCAAAGTTCAATGTGCTTCAAGGATTGCTTAATGCGTGCTTGGCTGGCTGCATGAGTCGCATGAGGCTGTTTGCTTTTTGGTGGTAAGAGAACTGGCGTGGTGCGCCTGCCATGTTTGTTGGTCTATGATATCGTCAGACTCCCCTCATATCTAACCCTTTTTAGTTGGACCCTCACCAACAGGAACAGTTACGCAAATGGCGGGGATCGCAGGACAATCGGCCTTCTGGCCATCCGTATCGGGTCTCCCTTGAAAGCTTTGACATGTTCGGTCGACTGCCTCTATGGATAGAAGCTTGGGCTGATGCCTTCGCGAATCCGACAAAGCGACTGCAAGCGTCAAATGGAAGTGTCCTGCTTGGAACGAGAACGCTTCCCCGTGCTCCCCCGAAGCGGAGATCAAAGCCATGCAGCAAGCGCTGAAGAGATCCCCTGGTTTGCATCCCAGTTGAATCCTCAAACGCCCGAACTTTACCGGGGAGAAAAAAAAACATATTGGCAAGCATCTAATCAGAGCAAATCCTGAAACCGGATCACTTCAGCCATCCTTTCACATGGCCAAGCAAGAAGCAAATCTGACACAACAACGTCGCATTGAAGCATTTCTGGTTTGGAATCCTCCAGGAGTCTGCCGTGTCTGTTACACCCGGAAGTTAGATGGCACAATTCCGTTCGGGCAAGTAACCACCGGACGTCTACCAAATTTACGCCAAGAAAACTAACCGGACGAATGGCGCGGCGCTTTGCGGGGGAGGGGGTGAAAAGCAAGTCCAAATAAAACGGACCTCTTGGCAAATGGCAAAAACAAAGACCTTTTGGTCAATGGCATTGGGTCAAAAGTGGGGTAACCCCAAAATGGGTTGCCCTGGTAATAGGACGACTAAATGGGGGCGAAGTGCGCCCAACTTCAGGGCTTCCGCACGCTGCTTGGCTGCACTCATGCCTCCGTCCGCAGCGGTCCGAGCAGCCTGGTCTTTTACACGCGCCGTGTTTTCCTGGGTGGACATCAATCCCCATGTAAAAAAAACAACCTGATGTCCACCAGAAGGGCTAACGATTGTCTTGATGTTCAGCATCTGTTGGGTTGGGCAGTACCAGCTTGGCAACTCTTGGTGCTTTGGGTACGAAGCAATGGAGGATTGCAGGATCTGCCCGAATATGCTTCACTCCCTAACTTGAAACACACCGCGCATATGGGGAACTGCCATCACTCTTCGCTTGAAGCTCAGGTTGCTAGCTGGGCATATCCCAAAAAAGCATCGTTTGGCGGCCAACAAGTGGAGCGGCAAAAGGGAGTTGACTGGTGTTCGTGTCCCAGTGTCCCTTCCTTCCAAAAACATCACAAAAGCAAATGCGCGTAGTTGAGGCTCCAACCAACACTCTTCCCTAACCCTCAAAGGCAAGCTGTCCAAACCTCAATGATGGGATGCCGTGAACGAGTGAATTTGTCAAGTCAATATAGGTTGATCAACTCGGGGCAGAGAGGCATAGGTCCGTGGCTTCGACGGGGCAAGTCGGAAAAAGAAATCCAAATCGTGAGAGCATCCCCAAGGATCCCCCGTCTGGCAGTGGCCATCCACACAGAAAAATAGTTTCTTGTTCCCTGAACGATGTCCAGCCCGGCCAATCTCACATGCTGTTGACCATGCCTGTCCAGCAAGCCGCTGCTTGGCGGGGTAGCAAACAAATCTGATGCTCAGAATGCTCCGATTCAGGGAAGAACCAAGATCTGGAACTTGGGGAAGCTGGCCGAACCTGTGGCTTTCACATTCAAACATGGCTGTCTGTAAGTGCATCTCTGCTTGCCCATTGCGAGTGCTCAAATGTGCACCGTGTTCAGGGCCCGCATGTCAAGATAGTGGCTGCTTTGGCGTGGGCCTTGAAGCGCCCCAGAAAGCCCATGCTTGCAGTGACAGTTGGCAGCCCCAGAGATCCACAATATCAGGGCTTGAGGGAAAATCGTGCAGTGACTTGTTGACTGGAGTGAGAAAAGGGTATTGATTGCCATTTCCACGACTGGAAGCAAGGTGTTTTGCCAGCGGCTGGCCTTTGGGTCAGCCTGGCCACGCTCTTAGAGGCTGATAAAAAAGGTCTCGCTCACTGGACAGGCTTGGCAGATTGTCGACACAGCCAATGCACGTTTCAAGTGTTTGGACGCTGGCCAAAAGAGGGGCGGCATGTGAGGTCTTGCCCAAGAAATCTTCGTGGGATAAGTGGGCAGACTTTCCATTCTTCACGGCTCGCACCGGTCAGCAAAACTGCAAACTTAGCCAGCTAGGACCTCCCTGCTTCAGCAGCTCAAAATTGGTCAATAGAGAAGGGAATGGACCTTGGGTGTGGCCCAAACTTCAATGGTTCCAGGAGAGAATACCTGCACGGATCTATTGGAGTTTTAGGGACCGGATCGCTTTTTGCAATGCAAGTTCAACAGATTGTGACAAAAGCAACGCTTGCGGCAAGAGTTTTTGATCGCCCGAGAAGGGGTGACCAGTTTCTACTACATTTGGTATTACTTTTCGCTTGCTCAGCCTTGAAGCCTTTGACCCATAGAGCCTTTTCTGCTCGAGCGCCACATGATTGGCTTCGGCATCCTTTCAGTCCAATTGGGTCCTTCTCACGCTGGCAGATCTTTGATGGGTATGGGCCAACATTAAACCACCAGGTTCCATGTTGGGTACACATTTTTGACCCACAGCCACATGGCGCCGAGTGAGCAGCTCCCTGCGAACCCAGTCGGACTGCGGGCACCCGAGTGAAACCCAATCTTCGCCTGGCTGCAAAGGTCTTCAGGGCACTGCCCCAGGACCCGGATCTCAAGGTCCCCTACCATTTTCTCCTTCTGAGTAGGTACACCTAGAGGGCCCCCTTCTACACAGACGAATGGTGTTTGGCAACTTGCAGGCCCAGGTGTCGGTTTCATGGGCTGAACTGGGGACGACTTGGCCTTTTTCTTGTTGCAACAAACAAGCGGTTGGAGTCAGCCAGCAATGAGTCTTCGGAGAACAATTATCCGCAAACATGATACGCTGGAATGCTTGCGCAGGCGTGCGCGCGCGAGCCTGAGAACACTTGGACCCAATCCGATTTGTTGAAATGGATCTGCTCATTACACAACATTACGCAACTTCATAACGGTCACATGCAACCATCACCACTCACTGATAAACATTCCTACTTTCATGCCCAATGATGATCGTGAGTCCAGCACACAATACTCTCCCCAGCGAAATTGACCAGCAGTCCAGGAGAGTGTGCGCCTAACTCCCCGCCTGAAGGACTTCATGAGTCACTTCCACCTCACAATGAGGATCTCCCTCCTGCATGCCGGCAAAAGGAGCCTTTGGGTGTCAATCTTTTAGGCTCCTAGGGCTGGTTTCCCCTTTGTCATCCATCTTGCCGAAGGCTTCCCTTTTCGTGTTGCGGTTCAGGATTCTGTCCATCACCTATGTCATGAGACATTTTGAAACTCAACATGTCAGATGAGGACCCTTCCTCCCACTAACACAGCATTTGTGGCAGGGCATCTGGAAGGTAAGTTTCCTCTTAAAGCACCCCATCTCTCCTCGCCGGAGCGCGCGCTGGGCCACCATTGCCGCGGCAGCGCCGGCCAGCAACGCGGCCCCCATGAAGAGCAGGTACCTCCGCCCGATGCCTTACGGAGCACAGGCTATCCCTTTTCTACAACATTTTTTTGAATTTTATGGGTCCCGGACCATTTAGGTGGAAATTTCCATCTACCAACCACTGTTGAGGGGGTCCCTAGGAAAATGCGCCGTGGCCCGGCCGGGAAGCGGTCAGACCGCCTCATTTGGCCGGTTTCTAGGGTGGATTTGACATGACTTGACGGGTTCTATTAAAATTTGAACCGGTTCTAGGGTTGACCGGTTCTTCGGGTTTGTATATGGGGAAAATGGCGTGCGTGTTTGCTCGGTTTGTAAGACACCGTCATAAATGCCTCGAGGCTGGGCGTGGGTTTGGGCCGCAGAAGGATCTGGCCTCAGGATGCCTCAGAAACTTGCTTCAGAAGAGCTGGAGGCAGCTGGAGCATGGGCTTCGGTCGCGAGCATGGGGTGGGCACCTCTGCTAGCCCGATTCACCCCGTCTCGTTCTAGCCCTTGAAACCAACGAACATGCACCCACCATCTTGGGAACCAGCTCACACTCAAACAAACACAACACTTCAAGGCAAACCAAGACACAGTATCTCAAAGCCAACCAAAAACGTACTGGCCGAGGCGGGCAGCGCGAAGCGTTTACAATTCATAACCATATTGCATATCATTCACAAACCGGAACAAGGAACCCCTGGTAAAGAACCTTTATCGTGGGCCCTCATCTTGTTCCCGGTGAGGTCATTCTCATTTGCCCACATTCTACTGCAGACTTCATTTCAAAGGTCTCCCGAAATATACCCCGACAGCTGTTGCACGGAAACCCTATTCCCCAGAAAACGTCATGAACATTAGCCTCCGGCAAAGCGTCGCTCCGCCTGCGGCTTTGTGTCGATAATCACATGCAGAACATTGCATGATCGGCAGCACCCTAATAGACTTCCAAATGAACCTGAATTTGAATCTCCATGAGAGAAGGGCAGACGATTGCAAGGTGGGAGGCACTGAATTAACATGATGGATTCATTGCAGGCAAAGCCATGCTCAGCACTCGCTGGATCTTGGAATGGCCAATCATCCCTGATGAGCAAAGCCAACCAAAGCTCCTTTTGAGAAAAGTTTGTGTTCTTGAGGGAAACTCTTGAAGGTTGGTGAAAAAAGAAACCACAATTTGTTGGGATCGCTCGATTTCCTCTCAGCCCCTCAGGCACAAAGTCCTCTCCCGCTTCTTCTCGCCGGCCACTTTCTCACGGCCTTGGATGGCCCGTCCGCGATCCAAAACCCAACGCCACGCGTTTGGCGGGTCCAACGGCATGCCAAGAATCCCAAAGGCGGCTGCACTGTGGCTGGGAAACTTTGCCTTTTCACTTCCCCGGGTTTTGATGCCTTGTGTGCGCGACCTCTCATTTTGAGCTGGGTTCCTTTCATGAGACGCAAACGGGAAGCCTCCCACTTCACTTGGGGGGGGGGCACGCAAATCATTTGGGTCTGTCTCCAAATTCAACAAGCACCCTGAAAATTGACTGTGTGGTCCTTTTTGACGTCCCCTTTAACATCGACCAAAAATCGAGCAAGGGGTCCAATTGAAGGCAAGTCGCACTCCTTCACAAAGGCCACCACCTGTGCCTTGCTTTCCTCCCAGAAAGAGGTGGGCGTGGACTTGCTTTTCCAAGGGCAACCGCGAGAAACCAAAATCATGGATTTGGAAACTACCCTTGGACACCTTGGCCTAGCTGAGCGGGTGTGCCGAGTGTTGGCTCCAATATATGCAGTGCTAAGCTGGCGCACTTGAGCGGGTGTTCTTCCCGTTTGGCTGGCATGCATGCAGTGCTGAGCGATGCGCTTGAGCGGGGTTTTGCCATTTGGCACAGTGCTGAGCGAGTGCACTTGAGCAGGTACTCTTGCCATTTGGCTGGCATGCGCGCAGTGCTGAGCAGGTGCACTTGAGCGAGTGTTCTTACCATTTGGCTGGCATTACATTGTTTCTGAAGTAGTCTCTGAAGCATTTCTTTCTAAAGCGCGGCAGGTAGTGTCTGAAGCGAAGTTTCTGAAGCGGACTGCTTTCAAAAAACATGTTGGGGCTTCCTCACTCGACAAGCTCAGAAAAGGGTGTCATCTGTTTAAAGGGACCCCCTTGTTAGAGGGGAATCCTGTTTAGAGTCTCTTAAAGGCAAACCATCGGGAATCAAAGGGGAAACCAAAATACCAGCTTTAGGGGTCCCCCATTTTAGGGCACACGCTGGTCTCTGACATCTTGCTCTCTTGGCGTGGACATCACGAAACTTTCCCAAAACGTCTCAGACACACAAAAAGGAAGAACCTGGTCCAAGGCTGACGAGAAGTCCACCTTCATGACAACCAAACAGTTTGCGGTGGTCAAGACGGAGGACAACTGTGGGAAGCGACCAATCACCGCAATACAAAACATGAAGCAGCCAGGTTTTTCGGCCGGGGTATGAGCAAGTTCCTGAGTTTGCACTGCTCTGGGCGAATGCGCTGACTCCGTGATCTGCACCCCAAGACAGGGTCCCTCCTTCACGAGTCAGGCCCCAGTATGGTCGCGCCATATCGCTTGCCGACCCCGAACCCAAACAGGATTGACCTGTCGCCCCCCCCCCTTTGGGGAACAACGCTTGCGTTTGAAGTTACATTGAGAAAAACCCGGAGACATCAACCTCAGGCTCAAACTGACACCCAGAGCACCCAAACCTCTGGGCAACCTGAAATCAGTGATGACAAATCGGGATTCTCATCCTTACTTGGTCACTTAGGATTTTCTTTCACTACTGTGGATGGTTGCGAAATCCATTTCGCACCACCGGTTTCCGATGATTTCACTGTAAACACCAACAATCGTTACGGTTTCATTCCAATGGTTTCCATGGTGTCATTTCATGGAGCGATTTCTGGACTTCGCCACCATCCACAGTAGGATTCGAATGGATTTCGCAACGGCCTGCATTGGCTTGAAAACTGGATTTTGCCAAAACGCCCATCCTTCGGTACATGGCTCCCATTCGCTCGCTCCGAAACCTCGGAGTTTCGAGCGATCGGCTCCTCGAAAGCGAGGCCCGTGTCCACCACCCAATCTGCCATCAGCCGCTTCTCCGCGTCCGGCACCTACCCAACCGAGCCAAGCCATCTCGCCCGGTCAAGTGGCAGCAAAAAAAAAGGCCCTGTGGCTGCTGAAGGAACCTTTTGGGTCTGCCTAAAGGGAAACCAAAAGGACCCGTACCCCCCCCTGGCAGGCCCAATGGCCACTTACCCACTTCCTGATTGCATGGGCAGAACACAAACTATAGTTGCCACTAAACTGGTCCAAACCGAAGTGTCGAAAGTCCGAAACGGAACTCAAAAACTGCCCCCTTAAGAAAAACCATTTGCAGCGCAAATGTTTCGGTTCCAAGAGGGCCGCCGGTTCTGAGTCGGTACCCCTTTGGTAGGTTTTAAAGGGAAGCCAAAAGGAATACCGATGCCTTTTTGGGGGGTCCCCTAGTAGTTAAAGAGACACTCGTATGTGAATCTCAAACCAGCCCCGCTATGCTTTGCAGGGGAAGAGAAGAACCCCCTTGAACCCCCCATGAGAAACACAAAGTGAGTGCCGGAACAACACACGTAACCCATAGAGGACCTGAACATAGCCGATACACGGTTGCATCATGAAAACCAAGTATTTTGGGCAGAACGTTAGGTTTGTCTCACAGCCTGTCATGAGAGATTGTACTCGTGACCCCGTCACACATGTTCCGATATTTCCCATTGAGCATCACTTTGCCATGCAGAAACTCCCCTAAAATCAGCCCAGAAGGTTTAAAGGAGAAACACATGGCTATGGAGCCACCTTAGAAGTGGTTGGCAATCCGAATCTAAATGTCCCCCAGAGCATCCGAATGAGATCCATTGAGATTCAGAATCAAATTTCAGGAGCGCAAATGCGCAGATTTGTGTTGGCCTGCTTGGCTAGGATCGCCATGAACTTCTCGGGCGTCATGTCGTTGCGGGCCAACACCCGCGCACGCCTACCGGAAATCGGAAAGAGTCTTGAGCAAGCCGCAAGCCGCTCCACGCTTGCGCGCCCAGTGCGCATGCAACCAAACCAAAAAAACGCACTCTGAGCTTCCTCGGATCCCTGGCCAAGACCCCCCATGCTCCGTCGGAACACAGACGTCCGCCCGGTTTCACTATGCTGGTTTGAAACACGAAGCTGAGGGGCTTCTGCTCACCTGCACAAAAGACCTGGAAATGTCAGGTCCTTTTGGAAGAACAACTAAAGGCTCATAAAGAAAGGAAAACCGCAAGGTGAAAAGGTCGTGGCAGATTGCTGAGCTTGAGGAATCTTTTTGCGGGGACACCCTAGAGGCTCGATGCCCTTCAAGAGGTTTAACTTCTCATAACTTGTTGGCTCCTCACAAGCAGGGCGACAGGCGAATCGTGCCATAGTCTCTACTCTGCAAAGGTCCAAGGACATCTCGCTGGACTTCGAAAACGCGAGCTCCACGTGAAGATCGGACTCCAAACCCAAACCAAGTGTCCAACCCTGAGATTCAAGAAGAACAAGGGACCAAACCTTGCCATACCGGGCAGCCCCGCTGTTGCTCCGCAGGGGCACTCACCACGACAACCAGGTCGCAATGCTTCTCCTCACGTTAGCCAAACGTGGCCAAGGATCGCAAGATCTGGCCACTTGGCACTAGCTATGTGCTTTGACATAATGTTGGCCAACCGTTTTGATTTCATTTGGAGCATCTATGTCAACCTGGCAACCCAAATGAGCGTGTCCTTTTTCTGTCACGGCTTGGATACAAAAAGTGGTCGACATGGTGGTTATACGTCTTTTTGTCAACATGTTGTTGACCCAAAAACGGGCTGCGTGCGGCCAAATACAACTTCCCTCCGCAAAGGTGACCAAAGGCGATGCCAAATATGATTCCAAAAAGGATGCACATGCGACTTTCCAGGCTTGTTCGATCACAGCGTTTGATGGGCCGCTTGGCACGAGTCGCGCTTGGGGTTGGTCTTCGTTGTTGGCTAAGGCCGGCAATTCAAATGTGACCCTGGCCAAGGATTCCGCAACGCTTTGATCGTGGAGCTACAGTATTCACATAGCGCCTGTGATGCGATGAGCTGAGCTGAGGTCAAAATGTGCGGTTGCAATGGACGTGGAAGACATAGCGACTCGCGCTCTCTCTCTCTCTCTCTCTCTTTCTCTATAAATACATAGATGAGTTCCCATCAATGGCCCTCCCAAATTGACCGTAGACTACTCGACAACAAACGAACTTGCGGTGAGTAGGTATTTTAGCTTGTGTGTAACTGTAACAGGATGAAAGTGTAACTGTGCAAGTGTGTAAGCGTACATGTGTGTGTGTGTGTTGTGTTGCAGCCGTTGTGCTTGCTGTATTTTTGTGTTTGCGTGCTTGTGTGTGTGTGTGTTTGCGTGCTTGTGTGCTTGTTTGTTTGGCGGTTTGCTTGTCTTGAGTTTGTGCTTGTGTGCTTCTGTACGCCCTATCCTTCCAAAGCCAATGTAAAAGAAGGGGCTGATGACTAGCATCGGTCTCCATGTTGAACTGGAATAAATGCTACGAGAGACTGAACGTGCAATGTACTATAAAGCAACCTGCTTGACAAAACTCGCGCAGCTCATCAGGGATCCTTACATTATACACCTGGACATTGCCTTGTACATGGTGGTTTTCCTGTATTTTTGTCGAAAAAGCCATGTTTCAAATGGGCAAAATGTATCTTTAAGGAGCCCTGCTCATGTTGGCGTGTATCCTGCTATCCCGGCTATCCCGCTTGTTTCCCTCCTTGCCTAGCAGGCGCGGCTTTCAAGAACAAAATTGAACCCGAACTGGAGCCCAAAAGCGAAATGTGTAGTGTTTGTCAGGCAAAAAGAACAACGTTGTGTAAACCCTTCTTCGAAAACTTGTCGAGGAAGCCTGCGGCATTTGGTTGTTCTTCTGTGTATAACACAAACTCAAGGCTGCTTCGAGCGCACGTCTTGTTAGAAAGACGTCAGCTTTCCGAGGCCTTTGAAGCCCCAGGCACGCGAGTGTCGATTGACTCGACTCCGACCCTTCGAGTCCAGCTGCTTCTCGAAGAGCAACGGGATGTCCAAGACGCAGAGGGGCTGCGAAGGGCGGCCAACCGCATATCGGCCACCGCTCAAGCCGCTCAAGATTCAATCCCCTTTGGCGCCTAACAAGAGCTGCACACACCTCCAAGCATCAGGAACCGAACAATCAACCGAGTGAGAACCAGCAAAAAGGCAGGCGGAGTGCCAATGCATGGTAAATAAAAAGCATCAGCTTTGATGAGCAAATCTTGCGAATCTCCAAAAACATCGTGCTCATTTGACTGTGGATTAGGTTTTGGTCTAGACCCCGAGGCTTGCCACAGGCGGTCCCAAGAGCCCAGATTCCCCTCGCCCCTCGCCGCGGCCTCGTTTCTCTTCTGCGCGTCTGCGATGAACAAATCCCTGGAGGCTTCCACCAGCGGATGCACGATGGCCTCGGAGTCCGTTTTTCACGGGGCGCTCACCTCAAAAGGCATTCGGACCCAGGAGGCTGGCTCGTTCTTCTTTAGGATTCGGGCCCCCGAAAATGAGAGTTTTCGTTTTGGTTCCCAATTGAAACCAGCCAAAATCAAAGTCCTCCATGAACTACGCCTTTTTCGGATTCTATGTTGCAGGGGAGTAGATTGCCGAATTGACCTGCAAGTAGGCATGGTTCCTCTTGACAAGCAAACCATTCATCGGGAAAAAGGCTGCTACTTCCCCTGGTGGCACCAAACAAAGCCTCTATTGGACATCAGCTGAACGCTGGGGCGACATGGATGGCCATGAAAGTAGCTCCCTGAGACACACTATACAGACCTCACTTGGCTTTTGAAATTGAGACATGGTTTGCTGACAGACGCACGAGGCGCCGCATAGATCATTGCCGGCTCTCCTTCTGAACGACGGAGCATTTCAGTATGCAAAGGAATGAATATCTTTCCCCAAAAAAACAAGAAAGGCCAGGATGTAGGACTAAACCAATCTGTCAGGGAAAGGAGACTGAGTCTTGCCCACTCTCGTCCCTACACATGCTCGTGTCATTGCATAACACTTGCTGTTGTGTTTGAGTGCTTCATTTTGAGGGCACCCTTTTTGGACGTTTAAAGGAAAGCCAGGCAAACATGGTCGAGGGGTTGCATGCCTCCAGCTGCTGCAGTCTCTCCTTGTTCTCCTGCCAACCGTCTCAAGATGGTACCGCTGAAGAATCTATAATATTAGGCTCTTCAGCGGGTGTTGGTCAACATATTATGTTAACCAACACTATTGTTGAAACGCTATTGTTGAAACGGCACTAGTTAAACAGCAATATCGTTGAAACAGCACGTATGGAAATACTAAACTAATACTAAACTAATACCACTCAATACTAAACCGATATTTATTCATAATACTAATCATTCCGAGCCAGCAAAACCAAGTGAGGCCCCAAACAGCCAAATTATGTTTGACACCCTTTACTAGAACAGCCGCCCAAACAACTGTTGAAGGGGGTTCAAGGAGGAAAGAAAAGAAGCATCTCTGGGAGTACCGAGGAATACTACACAAATATAAAACCAATTCTAAAGACTATTGAACAAGTACGCACGAGTATTGAGCCAGTACTAAACCAATTCTAAACAGTACTTGGCCAGCTCAAAGGAACTATAAAACCCACTCTAGACCAGTACCAAGAGGTACTTACTGAGAGACTGCTTGAGCAGGCCCACCTCTGACCCCCTTGATTTCAGGCTTTACCCTGTTGACCCCGTCAGCCGCCACTGACTCCACCACATTAGCAGAGGTTGGTGTCAAGTTTCAAGATTGCCCCACTGTCCTCGCCCACCACCAGCTTGGACAAGGCGCCGCGGTCGATGCCTCCGTCCTGGGAATGCTGTTGGGCATATTCCCAGAAAGGCAACTCGGGGTGAGCTGGCTTTCTGCCACGCCGTCAGCTGTCTTACAGGTGGTTTTGTCACAAATAGCACTGGGCAACACGTGACTATGCATTCCGACGCTGAACAGCCTAGCGCCAGACGCCAACCAGCAGAGAAGCTTGAGCAGCAAGAGAAGAGCAACATCCCGACCAATTCGTCTTGGTGGCCTAGGCCAATGCGACTGGCTCTCCTTGCCGACGACTTTCTCGCCAAAGGCCTAAGGCGTGGCATCCGGCCAAACCCAGCTCTGCCAGCTCACTTGCTCAAAGAGGCATGTCCTTCCCAAGACTAACAGGCTATAGCCTCTCGGGCAAACCTCAAAGGCGGAAGCAAAAGGCCCAGTCGGGCAAGGCATCAAATCAGAGTCTGCCCGTATGGGTATGTCTCAAAACTGGACCTCGAAAACCACCCAGGTTGATCATGTTTAGAACAAATTAGCCCCAAGCTTGAGACATGTGCAGGATGCTGAAATGCTGTGTGCGGTTCCTAGCAGCTGCTCAAATGTTAGCACATTCGCACTTCAGCGGATGCCACAGAAGGGGCTTGACACATTTCGACATGCAACCGGATTCGAGAAGCGGGTTCACCTTTCGGCATCTGCGAACTACGTTGATTTTGAAGGGCGAGACATGGCACCGACACCCGGGGATGAACAAATGAAAAAAAAGGGCCACCCCCAACGGCGTTGAGCTTCAATTGGGGCTATCCAGTTTCCCTTTCCCTTGCTGAGATGAAACTTCAAAGGTCTCCAGCTCGCAAAGCAGATTTTCAGTAGCAGCAAACCGAGTACACTTCTGCGCAGATCGGCAGTACAGTTCTACAAAACCCAAAACCGCTGGTTTTTCCTCCTTAGTTTTCAGGGCTTCGGGGCACCTCAAAAACTCCCCTGAATAAACTGTTGGGTTGTTATACAACACATGTCCAAAGCAGAGCTAGGCTGCTCTCCAATCTCCCATCTCTCGAAGCCCTTCCCAAATTTTCCCCAAGCCACCTTCGTCACTGGCCTCACCGCATCGCCTGCAGGCCTCAGAACTGTCCGAGCCAGCAACCCGCTTACACACCAGCGGCAGAATCACATACTGACCTGGTCTGCGTGTATGACAAGGGTGCTTCCAAAGTGGGGAGCCCAACAGTTTTTAACTAGTTGGATTCCTGTTGCTTTCCGTGTGACGAGATTTGCTTGATTCAGGTTGTTTTGCTGTTGTTCGTTTCGCTTGGGTCTGGAAGTGCAGCAGTAAGATGACTTTGGAGAACATCGGCCGGCTTACTGTAGGACCCATGTGGCTGAGGTTTTACCACGGCTTGCGGTTTGCAGTGGTTAGTTTGGGTCTCTGCTTGGTGGTTTCGGCTGGTTTCAGGTTGGGTTTGCAGTGGGGTTCGGGTCTAGTGCTGGCTCTGGCTTGACGAGTTTACAGTCGAAAAAATCGGGTGTTCTGAGGATTGGTATAGCGTTGCCTTGGAGTGGGTTCAACTTGACTCAGGGTGGGCTAATACGAACGACAATGTCTCAACATGAACGGAAAACCTCGCCTTGAACACAGTCCCCAAAAACAGGAGACTCCACAGAAAAAGTATCAACCGGCCCTCCAGTTGGCGATGTTCCCGACTTGCTGTGACGCGTGCGCATGTGCCAACTTGCTTTCACACGTCGCACCCATGTGTACCCCAAGCCAACCCGTGCGACAGAACTTCAAATGCACCGTGACCCATGCTTAACGATGCCTCGGCTGCTAAAACCTGCGAACATGAACAGTGGAATACAATGGTTCTGCTTCCCGGTAACATGTGTACTCATTTGCTGGACATGCTTGAGTCAAACGCGAGTATCCGTATAACATGCCCAAGGACCGCCAGACTCCTCGTTTTCCGCCGCTTAAACATTGCAGCCGTCACGAAGTCAACCAAACCTTAGTTTTCACAAGTCATTGCGCCGGAATCACAGCATTCCATTAGGGATAATGCGGTCAACACAACAGCGCAGCAGAATCGGCATCCTGCGCGCACGCTCATCAAGCCTTGTTCACGTGTCATTCGGTATTGAGTTGGGTTGGGTGGGGTGGGGATGGATTGGTTGGTGTTTTAATGGTCTTCCCAAAGTATCGAGCCCAGTGGCCTAACGGTTATCCAAAGGCTTCAGTGGCCTTCTTTGGGCTGCCAACTTGAACTTCGCTTTCCGCGTCCGTTCGGAAAACGCGTTCGCTGGGGCCAGGGGCGCATAGAGCCGATGCACCGTGGCATCTGCATCGTCCAGCGGCACGGACATCTCCTTCGCGAGGACTTGTCTCTTGCTTGGTACCCTTGGAGGAAACCAAAGGGAAACCGCTTTTGGGGCTACCCAAGAATTCAGTTGGCGGAAGGGACACCAAACAAAAACCGACTATTTTTGTTTTTGGGGTGGGTCTCCTATTCGATTCTGGGGTTGCAGATTGTTTGGAGGCAGGGGATACATTCAGCGGATGGCGTGGAGATCGCCAAGCGGGTGGGGGCAGCTACGTCCTGGTTCCCTGTGAAAACTCGTAGCCATGTTGTAGTTTCGTCTTGTCTGTGTGACATAGTCACTCATAGTGACTGAGAAAACACCGTATTCTGATGCGTGTCCCCCATGTGCTGCTTATCACCATGCACCTGCCAAACCAGGGCAGTCACAATGTCCGTGTTGGTTGGCTGGCTGCTTGGCTGGCCGGCAACTTGCTTGCTTGTCTAGGTTCTGATCTGCCCACTATTTATAGTGAGCCAGCGGTTCAATTGGCGTTGAGCATCCAGGATCCTGAACAGTTTGAATCTACTCAACGAGTCTCTGAAACACCTGGCTCCCCAACACATGGACTGCGCCGAGCCCACTCCACCATGTCGATACTTCTTTTTTTTAATCAATGAGCCGGAAATCGGTAAAGCAGCCGCGAACTACAGGAACTTAGCAAAATGTAAAAACCGCATTTTCCACATCACAGTATACTGGATACCTTAAACATGTTTTGCCTCGAGGTCTCATCCTAATGACGCTTCTCAATAGCCATAAATGGTCATCCAGAGCACTTAATTTCATTTTGTAGGGGGTGATGGGAAAACCCGCTTCTCTCGCATAGCACCGCTCACCTTAAATACAGTAGAGCCGGTTCGCCTTTGATGCCGGGTAATTGATGGTTTTGTGACATCTTGCCACCCTGTCAGCGAGTTGCGGTATAAGGTCTGTGCTAAGTTAGAATGGACACCTTGAGTCCTTACTCACATGTGTAAGACACCCTGGCAAGCAGTGAATAGGAAGCAACCTCTGCGCTTGCACTTCGAAACTGCTGTTCGTCAATGATCGGTGTCAAGCACAACAAGCACACGATGCATCGGACTCACGACGTTGATCTAGCAGGGGCAGGTCAACTCGCCTACGCGACAAAACGGCTCAACGCATTTAGGACTGCGCAAAATTGAAGCATGCCAGTACAAGCGTAGTAAATGAAGTGCACTTTGGCAGCTCCAGCTCGAACATCACATCTGGTCAGAGCAAGTCTAAGTGGAGTACATTGAGCAACTCCAGCTCGAAGATCGCAACTTCTCAGCACAAGCGCTCTACTTCAAGTACACTTTGGCAAATCCAGCTCTAGAAGCGGGAGGGCCTACAGAGGAAGGACAACCCCACCCCAGTTGGATCTTAGACGTCATGCCTTCGCGGCGCCTACACGACGCCTGCGCGAAATCTGTTGGATTTTTTTTAATTTGGAAAACGGCGTATTTGATGGACATGCAGGGCTTCACAAGCTGTCGGACCATCCCTGCAACAACGCATCACATCATTCGCCCACACGCCATGTGACATGTCAACCTATCAAATCCTCGCCTACGCGTCTGCCCACGAGGCTTTACAAAGCCTCTGCGAAGTTCCTACGACGCCTACGCGGTTGTGGCCCTGCCAGTCAATTTCCTCGCAACATGTAAAACATGCCGCAACGAAGATGTGGGCCTTCATCCCTAAAAAACGCTGCCCACATGTTTTTGCTTTTTTTTGCAAAACAAGCAAAGAATAAGGTCAGTCTCTGACTGCCCGGCACTAAGCCACTCACAAGCCAACAAACAGGAAGGACAGCACCAAATCATCCCGCGTGGTCGCCGTCGCCATACTTAGAAGCCATGCTCAAAAAATATCCAATACACCCGCTTCCGGAGAGTTTTCGCATAACTTGGGAGGCCCCAATCTTCGAGATTCGATTCGCCTGCAACCATCTGGAGACAGTGCTCTTGCCCATGCCGATGCTCCCCGTGAGACCTTCGCGAAGCAAGGAGCGGGCAGAGCGGATGTCTTCGCGCGTAAACAATTGCACACCATCGAACATCTGGCGCAACGGCTTTCGTCCGCCGAACAGAAGCAGAGCACACATGGCTTACATCTGCATTGACAACTCAGAACCTTTAAAGCCTGGGGCCTGTAGCTTCCAGGACAGGTGGGTCGAACCACCAATAAAACTCAGGGGGTCTTTTGGGAGAGGAGCAAAAGGGAAACACGTCAATGTGGCAAAACGGTCTTCAGGAAGTACCCGCAAAAAGCTGAGGTGTGTTGCTGCCACTTGGTGGAAGCGTGTCTTTTCTACAAGCGCAGGTCAACAGTTGAGGCGAAGAAGGACCACACCTGAGCCTGCGGCCAACCACCAGCGTGTCCCCCAGGTTCCTGGCGCGATAAAAATGGCACGATCGCCAGCGCGGCACAGCTGAAAGCCTCTCAATGGCCAAAAACAGAAGCTCACGCCACTCGTCACAGACCAAGTCTTGCGGATTCAAGGGCAAGGTGGTTGCTTCAGCAGCGAGTGAGACACCCATACAAAGCGATCTAATACCTATGCAGTGCCAGGTGTCACAAATGTTCATCTGCTACACACTTATTGGCACTGTTGCTCTGCCGCAGTTTCGAGGGCGCGAGACAAACACAAAGGCCGAGAAGTAAGATGCAAACAGTGACCCTGTGCGCATTCTCCTGAGCAACCAGTGCCCCAAAGGAACCTACAGGTCCCTTCTGATTGCAACTGCAAAATATTTGCACCGGGGCTTGGCGCTCGTCCAGTTGAGTTCCCGTCCTTGCCCAACATTGCGGCCACTTTACAGGCAAAGACCAATCGTTGGCCTACAATGGGAGCCCAACTCCGGCCAAGAACGCTGACCGCCCCAGCCTACCGCGCCGCCGAACCTGGCGCCGAATCTTTCCAAGCCATGTAGGGCATGGGCAACCTAGCCAGTTTGGCTTGGGGGAGCTTGGGGTTCGTCCCCTCATCCAACCATAAACGCTTTGCCTCTGATGACATCGGGGAGCCATCGGGCCCGAATAGCCCTGAATGGTCCTCAGCCAGGCCAAAATATTAAGAATGCCTATCTACAAACAACCAGAAAGCCACCAAGACCGAACTTGGACCAGGCAATGAGACAGACTTGCCAGCTGCATACGTGTGGACGAGACCGGAATTGAGACCCACACCTGGTTGAATCAGGCATTGTGGGAAGCCCAGCCCCAAAACAGAAGCTGAATCTTGGAGAACTCCTGCTACAGCTAGCTTTGGTGAATAGCCACGCAAAGTCCACTTCGCGCCCGTGAGGTGGTTTCTGGCAACTGGCGCGACATGGATTTTGTCCATCCACAGTGTTACTCACTTGTGGTCGCGGTTAGGCCCCGATGCTATGGCTCTGAATCTACGACAGCTGCATCAGTTTAATAATGGAGAACACCCTTTCGAATGGCCTTAAAAGGTAAACAAATCATGCGGTTCCCGCCATTTTAGAACACAACCTGTCAAAGGGAAACCATCACATGGATTTAGGCCGTGTCATGAAATGCATACATACACATACATGTCTAAACATATATCGAATGTGTGTAACTACATCGAAACTCTGAGGTCTGATTTTTCTGTGCTTCTGTGCCAATCACCATGGTGAAATGCCACTTTTCTCGCAAGTTCTACCCCACATGCAGCCTCCCAAAGGCAAAGCTCCGATCGGAGCCCCGCCTTCCCAGCCATGGCACGCTTGGGACTTTTGCTCATTAGGTCGCGGTTCGCCCGCGTTCCGCACACCGAAAGAGCCGTCTTCGCACACGAGAAAAATGAAGAAATAGGGGGGGGCTCGAACCCAACGCACCATGGTGCCGGAAACTTTTGGGGAATGCTCGAAGTCGAGCGAGAAACTGTCGATCTAGATCTGTTGTTTCTCCTTGCAGCCTGGTCCCTGTTTGGAATTGCTGACATACAAGTCGCTAGGATCTTGCCACACACACACACACACTGAAATGATCTGCCTGGACCTCCTGTGTGGTACTCGCCATATGAGACGTGTCGCTATGCTGTCTGGCTCTGATTTACACCGCCGGATTGCCTCGGCCGAGCAATAGCGGGGCGCGTGGATCAAAGCCTCTGCCATAGACATCCAGAAGCCACTGGTTGCACAGGGGTCCCTATACTTCCACTTTAAACATCACACCAAACGCAAACTCACCTTCTGGCCCAAAATGTGGTTAGACAAACCCAAAGGGAAGAATATAGGGAACCCTGTTGCGGGTGCCTTGAAGAAATGGTCTTACCTTGAACAGCACCTTAGCTTGTCCTTTTCGGGTGGGTGCCTTGCTTGCCACATGCGACGGATGCAAAGCGGTGAGGGAAAAAAGCTCGGAACAGAGGCGGAACAATTAAGGAGGACAGACACATCAATGACATTGAGGCTCGGAACAGAGGCGACACACGGCAGACGGATGCAAGCAACCACCTTTGCACGAGCATATATATATATATAGAGAGAGAGAGAGAGAGTGAGAAGGAAAAAAGGAGCTAAACGTGAAGCTAAAAACAAGAGTACAAGAGTTGTTGCGCCCCATGTAGATCTCACGTGGGGGCCAGCATGAACAGTGCCAAAGCAGGAGACAAGGCCACAAAGCGCCAGACAAGGGCGCTAACTCTCTAAGACTGTTCGATGTCTTCAATGACAATTGAACAGTCTTACTTAGAAATTTCACGAACTAGCTCCCAAATTGCCAGCCACAGCAAAATCGTGTCTTTCACATGTGCCAAAACCAGTATTCCACGTCATTTCCAGGATTGAACATTTTTCGCAAAGAACCAAAAAGGCGAATATCAGGACCTATTTCTGGTTGGAATGGCTCCCTGCTAAGCTTCATCATGCTTCATCTACCCGAAGCGGTGTTGATCATGCTCAGCATGGAGTGGCGCCGCCCCTTTGGGCATTGCCACGTCGCTTCTCGCCCTCCGCTTCTTTTGGTCGCGCTGAAGAATCGATGTGTGTGCCATGGACCTGTGCTACCTTGAAGCAAGTTCAGGGCTGGCCAGCAAGCACGTGGATCTGTCTCAACATGGGTTGGGCCAAAGGAAAACATTATTCTGGAGGAGTCCCCTGTTGCGGACACACCCACGTCCTGCAACCTGCGCTTGGGGTTTGATTTTACCCAGGTCCAGGAACTGGACCACGGCTGCAGTAGAAGCCATCACAGCCAGTGGGTCTGTCATAGTTCTCGGCCAGAGATGGGAATCTCGGTGCGCGTGAGGCTGGGCCCGGATGCCGCAAAGAAGGCAAACATGAACCCAGAACAAGGCTCGCAAAACCCGACTGGGGGCCAAGGACGACGTTTCTGTGCCTTCGAAGTCTAGAGCCTGCTTTGGGCATCTCGCCACAGCGGAAACACAGCGCCCACTCCCGCTGGCGCTGGTCTAATAAGTGGCCGATTCCATCCTCTGCAAACGAATGCGACATGTCTTCTACACCTCTTGTTAACAAGTTGCAGCGATATTGCATACGGTATAGTTGCACCATAAGATAGTGTAATTGCAAACTAATCTATGTATGCATATATATATATATACCCATACACGCATACGTGTATACATGTGTATGTATGGGGTTGTACAAAGTTACTTTGCCTGGGGACTCTCCAATCGCCGGCCAGTCGCGATCCCACAAATTCCTATCAGCAACATGGGGCATCGCTGTATCTCAAGCCCTGGCTTTCCTCCATACCTAGAAACAGGAAGGAAGCGACGCTCGGATAGGCTTCCGATCGCGAGGTTCAACAAGTTGCCGCTCTTCATAAGTTTTAGATGCAATTATGGAGGGCCCCTATGCTATACTATACTTTCTATGTGTGTGCGTGTGCGTGTGCGTGTGCGTGTGCGTGTGCGTGTGCGTGT